GGGCCTTGTATAGTAGGCTGAGAAGTGCGTTCTGGCTACTAGGTACGACATATATATATATATATATATATATATATATATGTCGTACCTAGTAGCCAGAACGCACTCATTAGCCTACTATGCAAGGCCCGATTTGCCTAATAAGCCAAGTTTTCATGAATTAATTTTTTTTCGACAACCTAACCTACCTAACCTAACCTAACTTTTTCGGCTACCTAACCTAACCTATCCTATAAAGATAGGTTAGGTTAGGTTAGGTAGGGTTGGTTAGGTTCGGTCATATATCTACGTTAATTTTAACTCCAATAAAAAAAAATTGACCTCATACATAATGAAATGGGTAGTTTTATCATTTCATAAGAAAAAAAATTGAGAAAATTTATTAATTCAGGAAAACTTGGCTTATTAGGCAAATCGGGCCTTGCATAGTAGGCTGAGAGGTGCGTTCTGGGTACTAGGTACGACATATATATATATATATATATATATATATATATATATATATATATATATATATATATATATATATATATATATATATATATATATATATATATACTGTATATATATATATATATGTATGTCAAATATATATGTATATGTATATATATGCATATATGCATATATATGCATATACATATGCATATACATATATGCATATATATGTATATATGTATGTATGTATGTCAAATTTAAGAAAATCCTTGCTCCAAATTGCCTTTTGTCAGTGAAAGTGTCAACAAGTTGAAATAAAAAGACTAAGTGGTGGTGGTTAGTGATATTTGAGATGGAAGTTTAATTAAGGTGGAGTGTGTGATCTAGAGGTGTTGTTTGTGCTCAATATCAAGTATGCAAGACTACACTTTCAGACATTAAAGCTAAATCTACCATCTTTGACTAATTTTCTATAAGTTTAAGTGATAAAGCAATACTTAATAAAGGCAGCATGTAGATCTCAGGTGCAAAGCGCTGATAAAGCAGTGTTGGAGTGGTACACGCAATTCAACATCTGAGTGGTATCTCATCACAATCTCCACTTCAGTCACCTAAATATTATTAATACATGCCACCTCTACCATCTAAATAACTATGCCCCATAAATAATTACCTTCAGCTTCATGATCATATCTGAACTTCTCATATTGGTGAGTACAAAGAAAGTTCCCGATTTTTCCCCCGTAGATTTCTAGGATAGCAAAGCACTTATCCGTACACAAGTTTTTGTTCAGTCTCTGTCCCTTAAATTTCAGGAAAATTGGCATAATTCATGATTTAATCATTTCCATAATGTATCAAAAGGGTTCCAAAAAGAAATTTCCAGTCTTGTAACAAAATAAAGGAATATCAAAACCGTTCAAATTACTTAAGCTCAGTGGAAAACTTATGCATTATAGTAGTGCAGTACAATACAGTACAAATGAACCAAAGAAGTAGATGTCTTTACAAATCATCACTTTTTACTATACTATAAAGCTAAAATTAATGACAAATACCAGTACTCGAACAATTCCACTACAGTAGTTATATTCAAGAATGACACTTTTGGAGTGTTTAAGCAGCTTTTATTCACTTGTGCACTTGCAAAGTTTAGTAGGAATTTAATCATTTATCTGAATAGAAACCTTAAGTAATTTGAATATTTATGAATCAAACAAATTATAACACAGTTTCACTTGAATACATCCAAGTCTGTCAGAGTTTCAAATTAGACAACTCTTCTGCTGCGACTCCCTCTGTTCCCACTAAGGGTAAAAATGAGGTTTAAATATATGTTATCTTTTTTATTATATTTCTAGTAAGAAAAGACCTGCTTTGTCCATTTATACCTCTAGAAATGGGAAAAATTTGTTAAGAATGAAATGAAATAAAAAGAACACTGCTTAAAATCCAACATTATGATACAGTACCACGATGGAAAATATGTCTAAGAAACTCAGTACTAGGCCATGTGTGTTCCCTAGTCACAGAATACCATGTTAAAGGCAATGAATACAGGCCTGTATATTCAAAATTGGCAATGGGGTGTTCATCCTATTGTTTCTGACAAAAAATTTTGTTTTGGGTTTTCATCATTTTTATTAAATGTGAAAAACAAATGCTATTTTCACAAATGTTTTTTTTTTGTGTAAATGATCACATCAATAAAAAATTGTCTTTGAATCTCTAATAAATAATACTGTATACGTATAATAAATACTTTATAACCAATAAACAAAGTAATTTGATCAACTTTAGTAGAAAAAATAAAATAAAAAATTACATTTATCAGTTGTTTTCTAGTATTAATAAATAAATACGAATGTTCATTATATATTTACCATTAATCAATATAGCATCCATAATGGGAATAAGTCTTGCACATTTAAAAGAATATGCACGCAAAAAGGAAGCGTAATTAAATAACCCTTTACAATGTACAGAACAACATGGTGTGAGTGGGGTTTTAGAGAGGCACTCTAGCATTTTCTGACCTATGGAATGTGGCCACATTCTCTTCTGGTTAAACAGCTGGTTATTTTCTGCAAACCTGTTTTCACTTACAGAGCATCTAGCTGATCATCATAGATAATTGACATTTTTCTTCCGAGTACCTAGACTTGGGTTGTTTTTTGCAAATGGAGTTCTGCTCGGGGGCTCGAAAATGCTTTTCGCAGCAAAATGGTCAAGAATTCCTCAAGTCATAAGGATGTTACGATCAATTGCACTAAAAATTATCAATTTATCAAAAGTAGCACCAAGCCAGGAGTTGTAATGAAAAATAATGGAAGACTTTCGTTGGGTCAAATACCCCTTCTTCTGGCATGGATTGTGGAGCCAAAACTTGTACAGTACAATAATATTTTTGTATGAAAACTTTTATACTTTAAAGTGATTTTTATATCAAAATACTGTATGCATAAAATGTTTATTATTTGCATTAATAAAATAATATTTTTGTGAATAAAATATTCATAAATATAACAGAGCATGAATGCCACTGAAGTTCTTTAACAGCAGATGGGTCCAAAATGAATCGCTCCATTTCAGCGTGACTACACTGTATTGTTTGCAAAAAATTCATATCAAACAATAAATTTTTTTGTCATATTTCATTATGGTGCACAGGTAAGTTCAACTATAAATAATGGTTAGTGAAAAAATATAGACAAATACCTACTGATGATAATTAAGTCAAATTTTATAAAATTAAGCATTTTCCACTGAAAAATTCTTCCAGCTACCATATTTCACCTTTACATAGTATATCAACTATTGCACAGACATTCATTTACATTTGAAATGAGTTGTCAGCTGTATTGCCCAATAATTAATATAATCTTAGTTTTGTTGTGATACAAAAGTGCTGTCAATTTCAACTCAATGCAATGAGGCTTTCTCAAGATATTGCAAACAAAAATAACTATTTGGTACAAAAAGAGCATTATTAATGATCTTGTAACAAGAGACCGTAGCCAGATGAATCTAAGTCAATATGAGAGGTATACAGGAGCTGTTTAGTTAGGAAAGCTAAGCTGGTGTGTGGTGTATAGCAAACTGGTAGAAGAATGTTTTGTGGGACCAGGAAGTGTAAAGTGAATGAGAAGAGGAGAAATAGAAGGGGAGAGAACTTCACTATCAGCAGTCATTCATTCCTAGGCTGGCTAGCATTTGGAACATATTCTCTTAACATGTAGACACACACATGAAGTCAGGTCAACTGACCATATGAATAGTGGCATACAGTTGGCCCCTGATTCATCCTGCACAATACATGATTGTAAACACACTAAATATTACATTAAATATTTAATGTAAAAACATTAAATATTTTATTTTTAATTAAACTATAAGATCAAAAAATATGAGTTTCTAAGGGCAGGCTCAGCTATGATGATGTCATTTATAATAAACCCTACTCTTGGTTAAAAAAAAAAAAGTTGGGTGAAGGGGGTGAACGGAGACATACAAGAAACAAATAAATGTGGAAAATTTGTCGAACCTAAATTGGAAAGTGAATGAGGAGCTCAGAAGAAAATTGCGTCAACATGTCAGAAAATGGGAAGCTGTTTTAGAAGGTATAAAAGCAATGGTAGAGGTAATTGAGATAGAGTACAGTATATATATTCTTGGAAAGACATCTTAGAATAGGAACAGAAAACTGCAATGAGTGCAGGGAGTAATCAAAATGGCAGTTTTTGTCAGTTGTGCTTGTGATAATTGTTGTTATGGTTATAGTACTTACCTATCATTGACTATGGGGGAATAGTGATCTAGCTCTTTATGCCCCACCTCCTAGCCACTTATACATGATGCACTAATTACTTCTCTCTCTCTCTGACTGAATCTAATGTCCAGCTTCCACTGATGTCCCCTTGTCTTATATCATTTTAATTTATCTAGGCTTCCTTTGTCCACTTTGTCTATTTCCCCTCAAGATCTTGTATGTAGTTATCATATCCCTTTTATTTTCTCTCTACTGTACTCCAAAGTTGTAAGGGTGAGTTTTCTCAACGTGTCCTCATAACTGAAGCCTCTCAATTCTGGTACTAAATTTACACATCATGATTAATGAGAGATTGTCTGACCACGAAGGAAAATGAGACGGGAAATTCCTTAAGTACTTTCGTATTAATCAACACATCTTCAGAAGAATAGCAATCCTTCGGAATTTGTATTAAGTAAAAAAAAAAAAAAAAAATAATATATTATATATATATATATATATATATATATATATATATATATATATATATATATATATATATATATATATATATATATAATATATATAATATATACATACATACATACACACACACATACATACATACATACATACATACATACATACAGACACACACACACACACACACACACACACACACACACACACACACACACACACACACACACTGTCTATTAAGTAAAACGCGTGCGCACACAAAGTTAGCCAACAAGCAAAAGTTTCCTGAAAGTAAATAATTTTCACAATGTTTTCTTATGGACTGAAAAAGCTTTGAATTACAGTATCTTTTTTTTTTTTTAATTTGAGTTAAAACTAAAACAAATTTGATCAAACCTAACCCAACCCTACCCAAGTCAGTAATTTGTGTTCTTAAATGTGAATATATTATTAATTGGAATAAAGAAATCTGAAAGAAATAATTGAAAATAAATAATATCACTCTGCCTGTTAGGTAAATTGGGCCTTGCATACTTGGCTAAATAGTGCAGTTCTGGCTATAAGGTACAACATATATACTGTACTGTATATGCATGTTGTATATATATAATTAAAGCCAATTATAATTTCTCTAGAAGGCTGAAAATAAATATATGGTACAGCAGTTAATTATACACAACTAAATAAAATCCAAAATAATTTTGAAGAAACACAACTCTAATTTGTTTTAAGAGGTGTACACCTCTAGGAATATCCCCATCAAATTGGTTTAGATTATTTTAAAATCTGCAACCAAGAGGGCTACATGACCCAATAAAAGGTACTTTCCTTGCACCACCACATCTATGACTTTAAAACTCTAAGTCAATATGTAAAGATGCTCTCCAGATAATACATAGACAAAGCAAGGATGTAATTATTGATAAAAGGCACCAGGCCAGGAAGACTATGTAGTCAAGACACAACAAATAATAATCAAATGATTATCTTTTGAAATCCATACAGCATCCTTATTGGCAATACCTAAATATTATGGTTAAATGGAGAAGAAGAAATTTGAAGGTGAAGGAATGAGTATTTTGAATTGAAAATGTGAAAAAGTGCATTTTTGCTGATGAAAGAAGAATGCCAGACATATCCACAGATGAGAAGTTAATGAATTAATGAACTCTTGAAATAGTGGAGAGCCACTAGTACAGTAACAATGAGGTATAGCACAAGCAGAAATAGCTACCATAAAGCAAAGGAGAAAACTAGTTTAGTAAATTTATGTGAAAAAGGTTATACCTAATATATGAATTTACCGACACAGCATGACAATGTAAAGAGAGGGACTTTATATTCTCAATCGACTTGAGAATGGTCCAGGATGGACCAAAATGTCGTCGTCCCTTCACTTTCTAGTGTGTAGTCTGGTCAACATAAAGAGAGGGAGTCTGAAGAGCAATGAGCATTTATGAAGTTAAAGGAATGTAATTGCAAGCTATGAAGAGCTGTTATTCAGATAGTTTCGCATGTGTAAAGTTAATGGTGTAATGAGTGAGTGGCTTGGAATTAATGGAGAAGTATGCCAGGCTGAGTAATGTTCCCTGGGATGTTTAATGCATATATATAGATGAGGTTATAAAACTAGACCCAATCCCGATTTGTTTGAAATCCCTATCATTTCAGGAAATTTTACCTTTTTTGGCCATCACTATATATATTGATGGCCTTGTATAAAAAAAATAAAATGTTCTATATTTTTCATATAAAACTCAAAATGAGAATGAATCATAGACTTTTGCTTTTAATATGCTTAAAGACTTTCCCAAGGCATCAACCATTGCTCTTTGAGGGTAAATTTAACCAAACAAAATTAGAATTTTCTCTTATATAATGAAAAAAACTACCAGAACCTGTTTATAAAGATTTGTCTTCCTCATTGTCAGTGTATCTCAGGATCCAGCCCCTTAAAGCTTATTATCAAAGGCAGGACCAGGACACCAATGAACCACTCATTAACTTCCTACACCCAAAACTCTTAACTCAGATTTTGTATGAAATATCTTGGGATATTGTTCTAATAAATAATTAAAAAGAAATTGTTTCGTAATATTTTCGGAACAACATTTCTGACATCCATTGAACAATACCAAAAACTGGAATTTTTTATTTGTTTTTATTTAAATTTTGGAGGGGGAGATCCAGTGGTTGAATTTGGTTCATTAATTAGAGGGATTCATTATAGGGAGGTACAAATTTCAGAGGTGTCACTGTATATGATATAAACATGTACATAGAATACAGTACTACATGAAAAAGTTGATGTATTCAAAGGACAGTTCTATTAGCAGAAATAAGAAATATACTGTATATATGTGCAGTAGATTAGATGGCAGTTCTGTTGACTGGTTTAAGAGAACACTGCTAAAGGTGAATGTGTATGAAAGTTAATGGTGAAGAGGAGAGATCTAAACAAATGTACAAAATAGAGGTAACATAAGTAGTGAGGTCATGGAAGTGTTTAAATTAGGCCAGTGTGTTCAAATACTTGAGGTCTGTAACTCAAAAAAAAAATCAAGTAATTTATACAGGAACATGTATTGGAGAGTGCAGTAAATTAAGGAGGAAAATTGGCTGGGGTTATGGAAGCCCTTGTCTGAAAAATATGAGAGAGATGTTGACATGTGAGAAGCTGGTATGGCATGAACATGAACAAAGTCTAAGTTAAATCAGCAGAAATGAACAAGTGCCATTTTTAGGATAATGAGAAGATAATGAATGTGTCACGGTAGGATGTAGAGTGCAAGTCAACACATTATAATATTGAAATGTGCATCGAGATGACTTGGTCACATTGAAGGAACGATAATGAAAAGTGTGACCTACTTGCCACATGGGCTGCCGAGCACTACCCACTCGTGAGGTGCATGTGTGTTGTGTCATGATGCAAAATTTATGTTTAAGGAAAATTTACAGGCTGATAATGCATATTTCATCATCAAAATATAAAGCGTAAGTTTTTATGATGCATTTTGTGCCATCAGAACTTAAAGTGTTAAGATTGTAATGAGAAGTTTTTAAATGTAAACACACTGTTTTAAACATCCCAGACACCTGTTACATTAGAACATTTCCAGTGCAAGAGTTGGCAAAAACTACTTGTACTTGGAAGTCGGGCAGTTTTCTTGCTTCAATAAGTACAAAAATAATCAAATATTATACTGCTGCTCAATGTGCAAATCAAAATTAAATGACTGAAAAAGTACTAGTTTTATATTGCATGACAAGAACTGTGAAATGTGGGAGCTATGAGTTCAAGCAATGGATCAGACAACTAATATTCTTTCTTTCTATTGCCACTTGGCCTTGCCATCCCTCAATGCAGTTATAAGATATTCCTGAGTACCAATATACACAAACATGCAGAGGGAACACAATTTAGCAACAAACACTGGAAAATACACATTTCTACAAAGTCAACTTTGTATGTTTACTTTGTAAAAAGTATGTTCAACTTTTTGTTACCCGTGACTAATTTATAACAATGCACTTCTGATCAAGAGACAGAGAGAGGTGTGTATGAACACAAAGTATGAATTCAAATAATTACCAAAAGAAGGTGCAAAGCATGGAAGACTATTTAGCAGCACAAATACAAATGATTAGTAATTAAACAAAACATATTCAATTGCAAGATACTTGCTGTTAGGAGCAAAGGAAACAGAAGAAATTTGCATGCCAGCATTTAATTAAAAACAAATATTTAATTTAAAAAACTATAGGATAGTTTGTAAAATAGGTCAGTGTGCACCAGTGGCCATCTTTCTTACTTCACTTGCATGCAAACACCATTCAGCGAGCTGAGCGTGCACTGACGTCCACACAATGGCACACACCAGTCACTTGGGCTTTATAGGAATGGAGGAAAAAAATAGTTTGCAAACTGCAGAGGAGGAATATAGATTTTCTTAATGGTATAAACTTAATACTTTATTATAATTCACACAGAATAACTTACTCTTGCCCAAGATTATAAATGAACTAGATCAATGTTATGTCTTGTGTAATATCTGAAATTAATATTCAAATCCGTAACAAGTGGCAAAGAATTAAATTGGTACAGCTTTTGACCCGTGCCAAACATGTCTTGTGTAATATCTGAAATTAATATTCAAATCCGTAACAAGTGGTAAAGAATTAAATTGGTACAGCTTTTGACCCGTGCCAAACGTATTCAAGTCAGAATTCTAATCACCATATAATCTAGTCCTTTATTAAATATCATGACTAGATATCATGGATACATATTTACTCCCTATATGTTGTGTACGTTATCATCATCTCTGCTGATAGTGAAAATACTGCATTGCTATGAGCAATAGCAAAACAATGTAGCTGACAGTATGCTATGCACAATGTTCCCATGCCTTGGTACAAGTATCACCTATATATCAAGGCAAAAAGGACATAAAGCTACAATTTTGTACTAAAAATGCAAAAAATTTGCATAACAGGCAAGCTACTGTCATTTTGTTTCATGCTGTTTGCATATAAACAGTTATGATGAAAATATAATACATTATTTTTATATGGTGTAACTTATCATCCATATTTGCATTCTTTCCTCTACGGCAGCTAACTGTATCATCAACTAGCTGGTGCGGGAGAGGTTTAGATCCTCAGGGGAGAGGTAGTGGAAGATGCAGTCTGGCGAGAGCTTATTCTCGGCCACCAGCGTTGACACCGTTTCCCGCCAGAAGTCAAACGATATTCCGGAACTCTGTAGGGGGGAGTTCATAAAATTAACTCAAATACCAGGACTACCAAAATACATTAAAATTCTCCAGTCTTATTACCTCTGAGAGCTTAGTAATTATTATATTCCTTTGCTTAGTTACCAGCTTAGGTTTTTGCATAAAACATTGCTTAGTCATACCATATTAATTTTTTCATTATATTAAACAATGGAAAGGACTAATGAATAATGTAATGGAAAAGAAAAAACTGTTTAATGAACAAGTTATTGGCTTAGCAAAAAACTAAGGTAATCCATTATTACTTAAGTGTAGTTACATGATGACAGCTATCCTCGTGGTGTCCCGTTTTCCCAGTACTGTACTATGTCATGTGAGACTTTGAAACTACAGTGGTACCTCGGCTTACGAACTTTTCGGGTTACAAACTTTTCGAGTTATGAGCCCGATTTGTTTGGAAAATGTTAATCGGGAAACAAACTTTACCTCAGGATACAAGTTTTTTGATACACGTACGACCAAGCTAGCGCATGGTGGCACGGCGATCGCACCTCAGTTTACCAATGCCTCGTGCCCAGTGACTATCCCACCTGAATTCTTCGCAAGGATTTGTCGTTTCTTTTCGGATTTTTGGCTATTTAACCATAAAAGTTGTTATTATATATCTCACCATAGGTCCCAAGAAAGCCAGTGGTAAGGTTCAAGGCAAGAAATCACATGTAAGAATGACCATAGAGAAAAAACAAGAGATCATTCATAAGCATGAAAATGGTACTCATGTTGTTGAACTAGCTAGGCAGTACAACAAATCCATGTCAACGATAAGCACTGTATTTGCCAAGAAAAAGGACATTTTGAGTGCTAAAGTGGCAAAAGGCGTATCAACAATCACGAAACAAAGACCACAAATACTTGAGGATGTGTAATAGTTGTTATTAATTTGGATACACAACAAGGAGTTAGCAAGTGATAGTGTTTCAGAGGCCATCATTTGAGAGAAAGTCAGGGTATTGCATGAAGATCTTGTAAAGAAAACCCCTGGAACAAGTCCAGATACAAAAGACTAAGGCAAGTAGGGAATGGTTTGAAAAATTAAAAAAAAAAAGTGGTAATCATAGTGTTGTAAGGCATGGGGAGGCTGCTAGCTAAGACAAACCAGTGGCTGAAAGATTTATTGAAAAATTTAAAGATTTTGTAGAGGCTGAGGGATACCTACAGCAACACGTGTTTAATTGCAATGAGACAGGACTGTTCTGGAAAAAGATTGCCCAAGAGGACATACATTACCAAGGAGAAATCATTGCCCGGACACAAGCCTATGAACGATAGGTTTACGCTTGGGCTGTGTGGAAATGCGAGTGGCGATTTGAAAATTAAACCCTTGCTTGTGTATCATTCTGAAAATCCAAGGGTTTCAAAAAATATAGTGTGCAGAAAAAACAAATGTGTGTGATGTGGAGGGCTAATGCTAAGGCATAGGTGACTAGGATTTTTTTTTTACAGAGTGGGTGAATGAGGTAGTGTGCCCTGCCATACAAAAATATCTGCAAGAGAAAAGTTTGCCACTCAAGGCCCTGCTTCTCCTTGACAATGCTCCTGCTCATCCTCCAAGCTTGGAAGATGCATTCTTGAACAGATCAAATTTTCTCACAAAGTTCCTTCCTCCTAACACCACTCCACTAATTCAGCCTATTGACCAGAAAATCATCAGCGAATTTTAAGAAACTTTATGAAAAGGCAATTTTCCGGAAATGTTTGGAAGTGACTGATGCCACAAAACTCACCCTCAAAGAGTTCTGGAAACACCATTTTGACATTTGTGGTGCTTTAAAACTCGTTGACAAAGCCTGGTAAGAAGTGACTCAAAGAACCCTGATCTCTGGCTGGAGAATATTGTGGCCTGAATGTGTGTCAGAACTAGACTTTGAGGGGGTTTGAGCCTGTAAATGGAGTGCCTATTGTTGAGGAAATTGTTACTCTGGGCTGGAAAATGGGCTTGGAATTGAATGGTGCTGATGAGGAGGAGTTGGTAGAAGAACACAACGAAGAACTGACCACTGAAGAACTCCAACCCCTTCAAAAGGAGCAGCAACAAGAGGAAGCTAAGGATATTTCTCCAGAGGAGGATGAGGCAGTAGAGAAAGTCCCTTCCTCAACAATTAGAAAGTGGTGTAAGATGTGGGGAGAAAAATGGAAACTTATTGAAACGACTCACCCAAAGAAAGCTGTAGTAGGCTGTTGCATTAATCTTTTCAATGACAATGGGATGCCTCACTACAGACAAGTGCTGCAAAGAAGGGAAAAACAATCTTCCATCAAACGTTTCCTTGTGAGAAAATCAAGCAGTGAGCCACAACCAGGACCTAGTGGTATGCAGGCAAAATGTGCCAGAGTGTGCACTCCACAGAAATCTTCACTACCTGATGTTATAATGGAAGGGGACTCCCCTTCCAAACACCACCACCTCTCCTCCTCCCCACTCCTCACCATTTTCCATACGCCAACAGGAGTCATCAGCAAGGGTAATAACTTGAACATACTTTTGTAGTAAAGATTTGGGTGAATTTGGTATAAAATTTAGTTTGAAGTGAAGTTTTTGGGGAGTCAGGAACGGATTAATTAATTTCCGATTATTTCTTATGGGGAAATTCGCTTCGGATTACGAATTTTCGGGTTACGTATCGTCTTCAGGAACGGATTAAATTCTTAAACCGAGGTACCCCTGTACTGAGAATTTTGGCATCCACCACCCGCTCACGTAACTTGTTCCAACTGTCTACCACTCTGCCAGCAAATGAGAACTTTCTAATATTTTTTGGCACCTTTGTTCCCTTAGCTTGAATCTATGATCACTTATTTTTGAAGTAGCAGGCTTATGAATTTCTATCTGTGAAGTTCGTTGATTTCTGTTATTTCGTATGATCATATCATCTCTCTTCTTCTATCTTTATGCTTTGGCACATTTAATGTCTCTACCCCTGTCCTCGTAGCTCTTGTTTCCCGGTTCTGGAAGTCATTTAGTTGTATACCTGGTTGATACCCAATTGATGGGGTTCTGGGAGGAGTTCTACTCCCCAAGCCCGGCCCGAGGCCAGGCTTGACTTGTGAAAGTTTGGTCCACTAGGCTGTTGCTTGGAGCAACCCGCAGGCCCACATATCCACCACAGCCCAGTTGGTCCGGCACTCCTTGGAGGAAACAGTCTAGTTTCATCTTGAAGATGTCCACGGTTGTTCCGGCAATATTTCTTATGCTCGTTGGGAGGGTGTTGAACAACTGGGGACCTCTGATGTTTATACAGTGTTCTCTGATTGTGATAATGGCACTCCTGCTCCTCACTGGTTCTGTTCTGCATTTTCTTCCATATCGTTAACTCCAGTACGTTGTTATGTCTCCGTACCATAACAATCATAGCATAACATAACAGTTGTTATGTATCTGTACCTCTGTATGTGTCTGTATTTTATGCAGTTAACTGATGTGCTTCCTGAGGGACGGGCACCATACAACCACTGCACATTCCAATTTTGGTCTCACAAAAGTAGTGAATGCTATCTTAAATAATTTATTTTACCGGCCATGTATTTAAAAGCGATTCTGAAGTTGGAGAGCATAGCATATGCTCCTCGCAGTGTCCTTTATGTGGTCGTCTGGTGACAGTGTGCTAATTCATAACAATCCATAAATCTCTTTCTTTGCCAGTTCTGTAATATCTTTATAAATATATATATATACTGTAATTGTGTTGCATAGTTTACCAATAAATATGCCAAAACTAGAAGATAGAAGAAAAAGAGGCGATATGATCACTATGTACAAAATAGTAACAGGAATTGATAAAATTGAAGTTAAGAATTCCTGAGACCTGGAACCTCAAGAACAAGAAGTCATAGATTTAAACTAAACAAAGCAACAAAGCTGCCAAAGAAATGTAAGAAAATTCACTAGCACCTACACCTTTGACTGGGACACACAAATCTTGTACTAGCTATAAGCAAACTATTTTGCAGATAAGAAAAATAATAATGCCTCACAATGAGTCAGATGCTTACCCTCTGAAGTGTGTTGCAATCTTTATCCTTGTTATGAAGGTAATGCGTCTGCCAGAACCGGAGAAGGGAGCGGAGATTTGTTAGGAGGTGCGGCTCAACGTGACTACGTAGACCCTCGAGATAAAGTGGCAACTCAGAATGTCGGTGCGCCAGCATCAGAATTACCAATGATGTATTAAGACAGCTTACATTTTCCTGGAGGATAGTGACAAGCATTTAGTCATACAATTAATATGAAGTGCAAATTTTTTTATAATACAAAGATCTAAAATGCCTTCTTAGGCAAATTACAGCTATGTACAGAAGCACCCCACTCGTGTGGAACCCAGGAAAATGGAAAACTATGGTTGATGTGCATAGTTGAAGGGTTTCCTGCAAATCTCTCATTTGCATAATTCAGTCATTTGCTGCTAAAATAATCTAGCCAATCATAACTATAAATTTGATGCAGAACTCAGTCAATGAAACCTTCTCAACTAGGTAGATTTTGCATGGCCAGGCCTAAAATTTGCAATTGAGAAATATAGTTAATTGCATCTAGCATGCAACTGCCTTTAGGCTAAAATGACTACAAACCTACTCTGACAAATTTCCTTTCCCATGATAGCTACCGTAACAATGGATATGAACTTGCATCATCCAATATCTTAAACAAGTTGTGATATTTCTCACAAGTGAGGTTGATAGAAAAAGGAACATCGAAGTAAGGCATGGTTTAGAATCTAGGTCCAAACATTATTTGCAAGAAATATATTCAAATCTTGTTTTGTTACCTTAAGTTAGGTGCTCCACATAACTGTACAAAATGTACTGTAAAAGCATGAGCACCTTGAATAAAAAACTGTTTCATGAATGATAGTGTGACCCACTTTATTGAAAATCTGGTCCCACCCTGCCAACTGCTCATAAGACCATGTACAGGGAGAATTTGAAGTGGTTTCGGTATATGGACCTAAAGGTGTGCACAGCTACCACTTGGTGGTAGTGTTGGTGGTCAGGGCCCAGATTCACGAAGCAGCTTACAAATGTTTTTCTTCTTAGCGCCTTAGTAGCGGCTACGTTGGTATTCAGGTAGGCATACTAAGAAGGAAAATCTTTGTATGTTCCATCGCACTTGTTACGTACCTCTATTAGATACGTAATTAAATAAATTAATATGTACATTTATAATTGTGTATAAATTACATGTATGTATATTGATATACTTATATGTTCTATGTAAAATAATTTCATGTTACATTGTTGGCGTTAGGCCCAACGTATCGTGGGAATGATTGTTTTATTTCTTTGTGTGCTCAGTTTCCCTTGGGAACTAATGATTTATATGTGATCATATGTGGGTAACATAGGTGAATAATAATTGTGTGAACTGTATCTGGCAAATTGTTGTGGGATAGTCCGTTGCTGGATGAGCATGCCATCATTCCCCTTTGTATGTGTATTTTAATTACTATGTAAAGCAATAATTACCTTATTTTTTGTTATACCAATATGTATTGACCATTCATTAAGTTAGTTTAAGATTACTCTTGTCACAATATATTGCTCCATTGTAGAATTAATAAATATTGTAACTTTGGCAAATTTTCGCGGGGCAGAAGCAATGATTTTGACTCCCGCAGATATGTAGGTCAGTGGCTGATACGGGGCTGGAGAGATCACATCTTTGTAAAGTCTGTAACATTCATGTTGTGCCATATTTTTATTTTATTTTATTATGTGTGATGACAATACTTTTTGTTGGTTGTATAAGTTAACTTGACCATCTGTGTTTTTATATTATACTGAATTCAATATATATATTATAAGTTATATGTATAATTCTTCAGTCCTAAAGGAAAATTTTAACCAAGTGCTCATTACTTATTAAGGGGTTACACTGGTGACCCGCTCTTGTGAACAGCAGTTTTTCGTAACCCTAGACCTTTTTTAAAGTTGGCTGTTGTAGGGTCACGAGCCGTAACGAACGATAGGTAACAGCACTAAGGTTGCTGTCGACCACCTTGCAGCTTTACATAAACTGGACATAACTATTTTTCTCTACTACACAACACGGATGATCGATTTTATTATAAACAAACACTAGCTGGAGAGTTTCATCTAGTAGTAGTCCTTCCTGTTAACTATATATGCATTCTCTGCTTGAAACTTGTAGGAAATATGTCTTATGATATTAGAATTAGTTTTAAAATTGCAAGATATTATACCAGTAGTTATTAAGTAAATAAATACTGGTGAACATGAAATATGAGAGAAGGTTGTGACGATAATCTCTTTCAAGAGAGATTGAGCCTGCTCTTCCCTACTTTAAGTTACGCCAAAGACACAAGTATAAGATGCTACATTCAAGATACGTCACCAGTAGCACAAAACGTTTTGACCAGGAGGCAAAACGTATCCAAGACCCCCCTACTCCACACACCCTCCACGCGCCAGCTCGTCATCAAACCAGCTAACTACCCTTCACCAGCTTGCCTGCCCCTGATTGGCGACTCGCCAGTCGCGCACATGCACACAGCACCTCAGCGCTCTCTACACGAATCGACGTCTGAGCCTGACCAGCTATCCACTTCAGAATATTCCTTGTGCTCTTACAGTTGACATCTCTCTCTGGCATACTAGCTCATTAGCTCGTATACGAAGGGAGGTTTCAGCCATAGCCGATATTCTCAGCACCATTTTAACATTGTAATTTTGTATTTCACATTGTCCTTGCATTTTTCTTTATTATTTAACTAACTTAACTTCCCGAGATTTGTCTTTATTTTCATTTATGTTTAAAGTAAATATATTAAAGTTTCATTGTTCATATTTTGAGTTTTACGTGTTCCTCCCTCTAACTTACCACAGACAACAGGCAAGCAGTCTATATTTTTGTTTAAAGTGTGACCAGGCTTTGACACCTGCCATTGGAGGACTGCCGAACATCAACACTCCAACACTTTCCCGTCACAAGGTGATGAACCTGGGCTGATGGGAGCATTTACTACCACCAAATGCCCCTGTTCACCTAGCAATAAGTATAGATAGGGGTGCACCTTAGCTATACATACCCAATTTTAATTTATTTTGTTTGGTTTAATTTTGAAATTAAATCTGGGCGAGACAAAATAAAAATATGCTGCACAAATGATGTTAGATTAGGGTAAAAACTTCAAAAACTTTTCTCATTGAATACTCAAACCTATAATTATGACTATATGGACTATTAAAAAAGAGATGGGGAAGTAGGGGTCCAAGACCTCTTCCTGTTACACAATTTGGGTGTGTGTAACAAGTAATTATCAAAAGAAGGCACCATGCCAGGAAGGCTATATAGCAGTAAGGCGAGGCAGCTACTTATTTGAGGAATACTTATTTTATTTTATTTATCTTATAAGTTGAGGCAGCTTATTTTATTTGAGGAATGCTCAGCTGATTCCTCTACATTTAGCATGGAACAAATTTGTGTCCAAGACTTCTTCCTGCTACACAATTTGGCTGTGTAACAATCAGTAAGTAATTATCAAAAGAAGGCACCAAGCTGGGAAGGCTATGTAGCACCATTGTGTGTAATAATAAACAAAATGTTTTTTTTTAATAAATAATGTACCTGTATGTAAAATAAATACTGTCAGCTGTAAAAATATTGATGCAGTTATTTAAATAAAAAATATAAAGAAAGAAATATTACTAGTTTATTTTTATCCTACCTTTATGTACTGTACAGTATATCCAAAGAAGTGAAAACTTGAGACAATGCACAATTTAATGAATAATTCAAAAGAAATATTACTATTACATATCAACATGAGACCTTAATGATCCATGGTTAACATGATTTAATAAGGATAATATTGGTAATAATACAAACTATAATATAAGATGAACTTATAGCTAGTTTTTTATCTACACTGTAATCTTCCATATAGAATAGGGAAGCAGCACATTGCTGTGTATACCCAAGCTTCTTAATAAAAAAAATCAGTAATAAATTAAATTTAATTTAATTTAAATTTTAATTAAATATTAAAACCCTTATTACTGATTTTTTTTTATTAAGATGCTTGGGTATACACAGCAATGTGCTGCTACCCTATTCTATATGGAAGATTACAGTGTAGATAAAAAAACTAGCTATAAGTTCATCTAATACTCCCATCTCACAGGATGGTTAGGCATACATGGGATCAAGGGAGAAAATACCAGCCTCAATACAAAAAGCAAATCTACTCTGACTAAACAACAACTTCACAATTTTCACAAGAGGTAAGCAATGAATCATGGAAACATTATAATTACTCTTACCAGTTTCTACAAGACTCCTCTCAAACAATGTATTTTTTTTAACATGCTTAGGTATACACAGCAATGTGCTGCTTCCCTATCCTGTATGAAGGCCCACACAGTGTAGATCAAAAACCAGCTACAAGCTCATCCAACATCCCTATCTCACAGGATGGCTAGTCATACATGGAATCAGGAGAGAACAAAATATGTAAGGCTGATCTATTAGCCCCCACTGGCAAAATCTGGGTGCAGCACAAGAATATCTTCCAATATTCCTGAGTGTATGAAGTAATTACAGAGCTCAAAGTACCTCATACCATTTGGTATGAAGTCACTGAAAACAGGGCATTCACAGATATAGTGTTGGAGAGTATGTCCTCTCAAGTAGGACTGAAAACATGTTTATTTCACCAAGAGGGTTATAAACCCATGGAACCGCCTACCCGCTGAAGCCGTAAATGCCAAAATCCAGCTAAAAAATATCGAGACAATTGGAGGGCCCTTTAACAAGCCGCCGGCTTTCTGTCCTCATCGAGGCCACTAAATAGTTAGTGACCCTTGGGTAAATTCAGGTAAATACATACAATAAGTGTCAGCGCATCTCCGAACGACAAGGAAAGCTACACAAAGTATCTCTTAGAATTACGTAAGTAAACAAAAAATGTAACATATGTTTACTACAATGTCGGTGCTGGCTGTAGAAGTTAAAAAAACATAGTTTCACTTCGAAATATACTAATTTTATTAGAAAATTCGACGTAAATAGGGGGCAGGTGAGCTCCGATAAACCAGCGTCGTGATTGGCTAAATCTTCATGATGATGAATGTTGCCTGCTCTCTGATTGGCCAAACAAAACACAGTAGTGACCTCTGTCGGCACGTAGGTGAACCAGACCCAAAACCCAAATATCTTTGTAAGAACACCTACCTGAATCGCACATAACCACCATCTTTACGCGTACTTAGGAACCTTCGTAGCACACCTACTTACGAAGAAATACATGGAGCTTCGTGAATCTAGGTCCAGTTAGGTTAAGCGGCAATTAGTAAAACGGGCATTGGTGGGAATTTATCATGCCAGGAGATGGTTCAAAATGGTTTTCGAGTTTTAAATGAATTAACCTCTGGTGAGTATTAGTACAACTGAAAATTGGCTGAATTTGGATATAGTAGTTGTATGTGAGCATATGAAACCCATGGGTTTAAGTTACAGTGACTATGCAGGAGTGAGGTCCACCTCTTTATGCCCTCCAATTTATTCCTTTCATATCTGGAGTACTTTTTGTACTAACTTTCTTGATGTTCACATTCTTTGTTGTACCTGCTGTTGAAAATGTGGACTGAGGTGGCTTCTATAACTTCATTCAGTATATTCCAAATGTTGGCCATTAATATAGGGTAGCATGTGATGGTGGTGGTGGAGGCATGTGGAGGTGTTGGAGGCATGTTGTGGTGGAGGTATGTCGTAGTGATGGAAGCATGTGGTGGTGGTGTTGGAATCATTCAACCATTTGTTGGACCATAATGTACTCATCTAGTTGTTGTACTCGCCTAGTTGTGCTTGCGGGGGGTTGAGCTCTAACTCTGGTCCTGCCTCTCAACTGTCAAACAACTGATGTACAGATTCCCGAGCCTACTGGGATCTATCATATCTACATTTTAAACGGTGTATGGAGTCTGCCTCCAAAAACTACTGGTGTATAGTGCTGGTGGTGGCAGTATATGGTGTTATGTAGCAGTATGTGGCATTGGTATATGTTGTGTTTCTTGAAACGTTTTCAGCACTTTGAGAAATTTCACATCAAAAACATTTACATGAGGCTGCCTCCAGGTAGACATGGATATACATGTACATTTAACATAATGAATATTCATGTGTATTTTTATCATATTTCTTATTCTTAATACTGACCTGTGTTAAAGTGTCCACACTGATTGTCTTGATTAACTGTACCAAGAAGTCTAGTCTTTGCTTGAACGTTGCAACATGTTTTAGTGTCCTTGATCGAGCTGCAAACTCAATAGCCTTGCCTTCTCTTGTGAAGAGATCATTGGACAAAACTAATGATCGAACTAACATGTTGGAATCCACCAAATTTTTGGTTACAAGCCGGAAGAGTTTCTTTTCCTGAGGAAAAGAAGTTAAATAAATTATCATTTAGTGTCTTAATGAATTGCCATATAAATGAATGATATTGAATAATTAGGTAATTATCTCTTTGTGGCCACCCCTGCCTGACAGCTGGGGCTGAGCAGACTGCCTCCGACGCATGCTGAGTCAGCGCCTCTTTTTTGCCAGACTTTCATGCCCTATAGCAGGCAAAATATGCCACTTACAATTTATTATTTTTCCTGCAATCAGGGAACACAAATTAACAGGTTTAAAAGTTGTTGTTTTTTGTTATGCGCTTGTGGGTGACAATGGCCAAATGAAATTTTGTTACCAAATGTTTAGCTGTGAATATACTTGGATTGTACTTGGATAGGATTCTGGGATTTCTACTCCCCAAGCCCTGCCCAGGGTCAGGCTTGACTTGTGAGAGCTTAGTCCAACAGGCTGTTACTTGAAGCGGCCCACATACCCACCACAGCCCGCTTGGTCCAGCACTCCTTGAAGAAAACTATCTAGTTTTCTCTCGAAGATGTCCACAGTTGTTCTGGCAATATTTTTCATACTCGCTGGGAGAATGTTGAACAACCATGGACCTCTGATGTTTATACAGTGTTCTCTGATTGTGCCTATGGCACCCCTGCTCTTCACTGGTTCTATTCTGCATTTTCTTCCATATCGTTCACTCCAGTATGCTGCTATTTTACTGTGTAGATTTGGGACCTGGCCTATGTGACAGTAAACAGTAGCCAAAAAATGTCATCGTGTCTTGAAATAACACCATATACTGGTACTAGTATAATGAGAACATCAGTAGGAGCTGTGATGAGGATTCGAACCTATGGTCTGGGTACTCCCAAGCAAACCTTAGACAAGTAGGCCACAACATGGTCAAAAAGGACTGCAACCTGGGATTCAACTGAATCCTCTAGGGGTCCCGAGGTTTCCACTTAAGCCAAACCAGGGTTTCACACACTCCTTCCCCCCTTCCCCATGCACTCTGGCTTTGTTGTCCAGGAATTCTACCTCTAATACTTCCCCTACAATGCACCGAGGAATCACATTAACATGATGTATCAATGAGGAAATCAGTAAGAGCCATGAGGAGGATTCGATGCTTCTGAGTACTCAGAGCACAGGTTCGAATCCTCATCGTGGGTCCTACTGAATTTCTCATTGATACATCACGTTAATGTGATGTGATTTTTCTGTGTACCATATATAAATTTATTTTCAAAACTTTTCTGAGTCAAGACCTCCCTCAAATGTTTCCACAGCCAAACCTTTATGGTCCATCCAGGCCTTAACACCCGCCAGGCTCTCATGACTTTCATCCCCTTCATAACAGGTATATACCTATTATAGGAAAACTATGCACAGTATTCACAAAAACTTTAGAATACTGCCCATGGAGCTTAACCGTGTGCTCAAAGTATCCTTGAGTGGCCAATAAACTGTTTCCACTCAATTCCCAAGTTTTCAGAGTTCAATATGTCCAATGGGTACATAAATATAATGACCCATTTGCTTTCTGCTATACCTTCAGAGCATTTATGTGTACTGAATCATCTACTTCAATGTTGGCTATCACTGCTTACGGTGCTTGGCTTTGTTCCATCGTGCTCTCTGGCATTCTACTCCAAACATTTTGCATTATCATGTATACGCGCGCGCACACACGCGCGCGCGCACACGCGCGCATGCGTTGCTTTCCAACTTCAGACTTGCTTTTAATTATATGAATGGTGAAATGATAATTAAACTGTTCATGATTTTTGCAAGACCAAAATTGGAATATGCAATATGTATGGTGCCCAAATTTCTCAAGCACATAAAAAAACTGGAAACGGTGCATAGGCATGCTACAAAATGGCTCCTAGAACTGAAAAAGAAAGTTACAAAGAGAGACTAGAGGTATTAAAAATGCCAAAGCTAGAAGATAGAAGAAAAAGAGGTGATATGATCACCACTTACAAAATACTAATAGGAATCAACCAAATTGACAGAGGAATTCCTGAAACTAGCAACTTCCCGAACAAGAGGACACAGAGTCAAGCTAAGGAAACAAAGATGCAAAAAAAATATTTGAAAGTTTTCTTTTGCAAACAGAATGGTAGATGGTTGGAACAAGATAAGCGAGGTGGTGGTGGAGGCCAAAACCATTAGTAGTTTCAAAGCGTTATACGACAAAGAGTACTGGGAAGACGGGACACTACGAGTGTACCTCTCTAAAGTGTAGTAATTACGTAACTACACTTAGGTAATTACACACACGGAGTGTAATAGAGTATGGCTTCATTTGCTCTGCATCCAAGTTCCATACTCAATGGTTATGCTCTAGGGTTAGTTAAACAGTTACTGCTTACTTAAGTGCCCACACTTTATTGAATAGGTTTGAACATATGCCATGTTTGCATACACAGCATCCCAGACAATTCTGGATTAACTTGGGTACTTTCTTAACTATGTATATTTATTCTTTCTTTTTCTCATTTCAACTTTTACAGATGACACAAAAATCAGCATGAAAATTACTTCTGTTGAAGACCTTGAAATACTACAAGCAGATATTAATAAACTTTTCAACTGGGCATCAGAAAATAACATGATATTCCAGGTACTTAAGTACCTAATAAATAAACACAAAAATGTATGCAAAGAAAAAACATTCCATATAGAATTTCCTCCTATGATATTTAGGGCAAATAAATCTTATCAAAAATTACTATAATAACCTCCACAAACTAAATATACAACTTGCCTTAATTTCTGTAGAAATGATGCTGTCTAGTCTACGATAAGCTTCTACATTAAACTTGAGCAGTTCTCCAAGCAGATCAAAGGTAGACTGCAACACTTCTTTTTGACTTGGGCCAGGATCACATTGCAGTAAAGAACCTGCTAGATGCTGCAAAATGAAAAGATTATAAGAAACCTATACAATATGTCTTTTCAAGATTCAGGTAACTTTTTTTTACATGCTACTTCTTTCCTTTAAACAAACTTCAACTAGTAAGTAAATGTATCTCATAACACGAACAACATAACACTTGTACAGTTACTCCTCGTTGCTTGTGGGTTTGTGTTCCTAGACACTTCATGTCTTGCCTTACTACGTGTACCCTGGAAACACAAACCGTAACTGTGTCTATTTTCCGCTTGTTACAACTTGTAATAAAGTTGTTACGTCTTGGCTTAACGTGTTTATGACGTATTAGAACGTTGTTACAACTTGCTATATAGGTTGTTATAAGTGGTTAGGTGTTAAAACTTGTTTGAACGTTGTACCAATGTTGTAGTTTCGGTGTGTGCTTGGCGGGTACTTAAGGGGCCGGGTGCACAATTTATCAACCATCCTCAAACACTCAAATTTGGTTCATAATCTAGATGGTAAATGCTCCAACTTTTCCTAATGCATCAATATCATAACATGAACAGGATAGAAAAAAAAACATTTACAACAAAATTGAAAATTTCACAATTTAAAATTCCTAAAACTAATTTAATATTTCATCAATTTTTATTTTTATTCATTATTGGCTCAGAATGCCATATAATGTTCATTTTTCTCTGGACGAAAGTGATACAGTCTTTACCATGATTGACGCCCATGATTTACCATGATGATACCCTTTCCAAGTGATATAGTCATAATGGCTAGGCACTTTCTCCTCCTGATAGTTCCATTCCCTTCCAATTTATACTATGAAAAAACATTAAAAGTTTTTAAGATAGCAAAAATAAACTGAATCAAAAATAAATAGCCATTTTTGGAGTCTTCATTTTCTAATATCAAATATTTTTCCAATTAATTTTTTTTGCATTCCTAATAATACAAAAATGGATGCAGGGTCCAGGCCCAAACTCCTTTTCTGAAGGCTAAATGTTTGGACAAATGTTTCAGGATGTTGAAACTATCTTGTCGCTGCAGGTTGCACAACTTGCACACGTACTGCAGTGAACTATGTTTCTTGTCATTCAGCCACAGCCTCATAGAACAATCAGTGCTAACAAATGAAGCAAGATACTGGGGATCCCTTACCAACGGGGCCGAGTTGTTACTGGATATCTTCTTCTTGAGGTTATCTTGAGATGATTTCAGGGCTTTTAGTGTCCCCGCGGCCCGGTCCTCGACCAGGCCTCCACTCCCAGGAAGCAGCCCGTGACAGCTGGCTAACACCCAGGTACCTATTTTACTGTTAGGTAACAGGGGCATAGGGTGAAAGAAACTCTGCCCATTGTTTCTCGCCGGCGCCTGGGATCGAACCCAGGACCACAGGATCACAAGTCCGGTGTGCTGTCCGCTCAGCCGACCGGCTCCCTCTGTAATGAACTGAGGGAGTACTGGAATCAAATCACACTAAGTAACAAACCTACCTTCAAGAGCCCTCTCCTGAGCAGGAACACTTGGTCAGCATATGGATTAGCACTTCTAAGGTAACTCTCAATAGCTCTTGAAAACCAAAACCTGCAAACAAATTGTAACCAAAATTCAAACTCGCGTAGTTAAGAGAAAAACTGATACATACTTGTCCACATGAAACAATTTAAACTTGAAACTAAATACTATCAAATACTCAACAGCAGAATAACATTGTTGCAGACTTATTTTCTCAGCAACTGGTTTTGATTACACAGTGGTTACTTTGTAATTAACCTTCTCAAACTTTTAAGAGCATTCTCCAAAATTTTAGGATAACACACCCTACTGCCTTGAGCCAAGTAGTTTCATTATACATCATTACATATTTGTAGCAATACATACATTAATTTCTCTCAACATATTCAAATTATTGATAGGACAGCCATCAAGAAAAAAAAAAATTTCAAACTGACAACAGAATGCTCTCAAATTTGTGTAAAAGGTATTCATACCTTAAACATTTTATCTCAGCAATACAGCGAGGTATCTCAAATTTTTACTCAAACTGTGGAAAGATTCTTGCTCTGATATCATGCGAACACCTGTTTTATCTGAACAATGTGACTAATGCCTCAACAACACTGTTATACCACCAATTCCAAATGATCAGTTATATGAATAAATCCAACACTGATGATGACTATCCTTTTACATCAGAGCAACAATGAACTCAGCACAGTTCACAGTTAATTAAAGTTGCTGCCACCAAACTTATTTTTGTATTTTCCAAATGAATTACAAAGCACATTTAATAACTTCTTGGTAAACTCTATGGAATGAACTAAAAGAAATGTCAATCTTATAAAAAGACATCAAAATTAAGTCTTTAGATACAATACCAATCAAGACAATATAATCAAAATATGTCTCTTGGGAAATTCTAACCAATGAGAAATAGACCTAAACAAAAGCAGCAGGAATATCAAAGCATATTATACCCAACAAAACTGGTTTCACTCTCCATCTATTTTTAGTACCAGAAGGGTGGTCAAGAATCTGTTTTTACCAAAAGATTAATCAAATGGGCTGCTTCACCAGAGCAGCTTAGGGGGCTGCATTATGAAGACAATAAAGGAACCCAGTTTCACAAACCTAAATAACAGAAGGCACAGTTATTTATCATAACTTTTGTATGATAAATAACTACATACAAAATACCAAGGGGAATAGTCAAGGGCAGCCTCTTTAAATGGAAAGAAAATAGGAAAACAGTTCACTAGTGGAAGCTAGAAGTGCAATTTAGTCATAGAAAGATAAAGTACTGTACTTGTACCCTATATGGATGGTCAAGAAAAGGCATGCACTGAATGAGGACACAGCAGCCACTTTCAGTCACAATTTCAACGGCAGATAAAGTACTTCAGATCTTAATTATCAAGAAATTACAAACATTTACAAGGTATAAAATGTTAGCAGGCAGTGTATAAGGAGCGTAGATAAGGAAGGAGGGTAGTATCCCTTTCTTTTTGGTGTTGGGGGGGGGGGGGGGCGTGTATATTTCTGCAAACTATATCTACTATATAAAATAACTATATAATAACTATATAAAAGTACTATCTAAACAGGAGGATGGGCCAATTATATACATACATAATTTTACACAAAATATTAATGGAGAATATTTCAAAATGCCCACAATACCTAAATGTGGAGCCAGTTGTTTCTTTCTTCAATGCTTCAACAATTTTTGAGAGAAGCCCTTGAGGACCAGAGCACATCTGTTCTGTAGGATACTCCACTGGTATCTGAGTTGACAGACCTGGCCCACCTAAGGGCTCTAATTTCATAATACTTGAAGACTCTCTACTGACAATACTGTCTTCTTGAAGAACACTTGATGGAGAACTGCTCTCTTGTGACCCACATTCATTACTATTTGAGCCTTGGGTCAAGGTCAGGTCCATACAGGTGGTTGAGGTTGGGCTTGGGGTGTCTTCTAGTAGTACCTTGGCTGCACTGATGCTACATACTTCACGGTATTCCACAGGCGTCAACATCAAGTACTGTAAATTAAAAATCAGTCGATCATATCTTTCATGAGAACAAAAAATCTCAATTTTAAAAGTAAATTATAATAAATGTAAATTTGTCAAGCTTCAAAAGTAATAATAACCAATTTATTAGGTGTTTTAAAAGCCAAAATTATAGTGAAGTTGATTTAAGTATCATTGAGTTTAGCTAATAACTGGATGGGTGACTGTCCAGACCATCTCCACCTTGGCTAGGGAATCCTCAATAAGACTAACATGTTTCCTGTCCCCTGACAATGGACAGCCTCTATCCAAATGTTTAAGCTAGGCAATACTCATGATACACTGAGTTTAATATGGTTTAGTGGATGGCCGAAAGCAGCAGTCGCCATCCTTTCAGAGTTCACGGATCACCAAAATCGTAATTTTAAATCCTGCAGTCCACCAAACAAGAAATGATAAGTTATTAAAGTGTAACACTGTAAAAGTGTTTGGTTTAGCTGTATTTAATACATACATAGAGTACATGAGTCACAGACAGGGATTTGAGAAGGCGCCAAGTTGTCGGCCGGAGTTTCACACCTCTAAGAGTTAATGACCTCAAGTGACCTGAGGTCAGATCATGCGAATTTCACCTTACTTCTACTAATCTTATAATTGGAGCCTGGTAGCCTTCAAACATGCCGACGTTTAAGGAGTGGCTTGGTAGAGAGCCGGAGGCTATCTACTTGTGGGCGGAATTAGCTACTAGGTTCCCCAATATATACTCGGAGAGCTATCGATTCAAGTGGATTAACAAGACAGCATTAACAGTACGGCAGTCAGCAGAGCAGAGAAGACGGCCCTAGCAGGGAGGCTGTCGGCCGGCAAGGCGGGACAGTCTCTGTCAACTATAGACCCCCCCCCCCTCTATCCAGCTACAGGCAGACACTTGGTGAGTTGAACATTAAGGTGACTTGGTCGTGTTTTACAAGTGTTGTGTGATGATCAGGGGCAGTCAGTTGTAGTGTTCTCAAATTCTTGGCTGATGACTCACTTTGCATATAAATCTTGAACGTCTGAATTGCTTAAAGTATGATACTTCATATGAAATATAATTATGAATTTATTATTTAAATTGTCTTTGTTCCCTAGAGTTTTGAGTTGAGATGAGAAAGCCTCTGCGGTTTCCTGATTTAATGAGTACATGATAAAGATGGGACATACTAATAATGACCTCTTGATAACATCTTTTGTGAATATTGTAATACAGACAAGTTCCATTCCTTGTCTTGTATGTAATGATCATGAATGGATGGTGGCAGCATTTCGTCTTCTACTATCTACTCTTCTACTTCTACTATCTACTCTTCTACTTCTACCTATCTACACCTCTCCCTCCACCCCTCTCTAAACTCTCACTTTCAACTAATGACCCTCCTCGCTCCTCCCACCTCCCTACCTCTCACCCCAAACCCTCACTAATTACTTCACTATTCATTTCTTTCCTTTCGTTTTCTCTTATACGTTTGTGGCAGTGAAATGTATTCTAGAGTTCTCTAGAGTTTCGGGTAGCTGATCAAAGTTACGGCGCCTTGTAGTCTTAGCACCTAGGTAGTCAAATACCTAGGTTACAAGGTGTTGAACGAGAGAGGCTGCCTTAGGAACTCTGGAGGTGCTCTAGAATAGTTAGCTAACTGGGGACGGGATAACGGACTAGAGAGAGCTGTTTCCCCCGGCCTCGTTAGTTAACTGGGGGGTGGAATAATGGACAAGATAGAGCTATTTCCCCCACCCCCCGTTACAAAAGTTAAACTATTTGTTGTCATTCAATATAACAGTTAAAAAAAATAGTTACATATAATACACAAATAAAATTATCTCGCGGACCACTGATGGTCCACGAACCTCCTGTTGGCAACCGCTGATCCAAAGGACCTATGTTGTGTCGTTTTCATGTGGGTTCTCCAACACATCTGAACCTGTGACTCCTCATGCACTTTGTGCGTTTAAAAAAAAATTCCTTATTATACTCTTGCATCATTGTTTCTCCCAAGTGTCACATACTTTATTATGTACTGAACAGGATTTTTTTTTTAATGGAGAGTCAGTATCGAGCAGTGTAATAAAATTTGTTAAATGTTATTTAGAAGAGAGTGGACAAAAATACACTTCAGGAAATCTCTGGAATGCAACCTTGTTTTTCTTGCATACAGTACTTTTAATTTTGATTAAGGTGTTTTCCCTGGATAGAATCTCTAAGTAATGTTTTACAACTTCTTGTGGTAAACATTCCACTAAAATCATATTCCCAAGGATAAGAAAGCCCTACTGAGGCAAAGTAGAAAGCTCTGTAAATGTACAATATAAATAAACCTGATTAACTGGGCACCATTTAATACTTGGTGCCCAAGAAAAAGGTAGTTTGAAAGGGAGACTTGCCAAGAACCACTCTCACCGTATAGTAAGATAAAACCACTAAGGGTCCTATTTACAATAAAATATGAGACAGTAAGATAAAACCACCGAGTATTGAGAGTAAGATATTTACACTCAAACTATTCAAATTGAAAAATTAAACCCCTATAACTCGTAAATGATAATAAAGGAGAACATTTGGTGGGACCATCACAATGTTGCAATGCCTTCAATGCAACAACACAATATTTTTATTTGACTATAAATACATCAACATTCAGCCACATTTTATGCTATATATCAGCAACTTCAAAAACACAAAAAAAATGTATAAATACAAGCTAGAGCCATTAACCCCAAACATCAGAGGGAAACACTATGGGTTTCTTACGACCCAATGCCTTTTGTATTACCCAATAAACGATCACACTAGTAACCTGAGAGAGCGATAATTAGTGCTGGAGTGATGAGTTATTTGTGAGGACACTATAGGTCAGTTACATGGAAGAAACCAAATTCAGGTTGACACCTTAGGAGTTATCAGTTTATGCTTTACATTAATGATGAAATTGATTACATGGAATACTGCTAATGCTCTAGTGTGCTAGCCAAGCTCTGAATATGACATGTTAATTATAAACTTTGGACAAAGTATGAGAAGAGTAGATGGATGGTAAGAGGGTTTGCAACCCTCTAGCAGCACTCTCATATGTCCAACCATCTTGAAGCTCCTGCTTCTCTATTACGTAGTATTCTCTATAGTTGTAATAATTTGGGACAAGGAACAACAGTTTTTTGTTCAAGAGATATATATTATACTAAGGCTATATTAGTTTATGAAAGCTGTACAACTAGGAGTAATAAAATATTATGAACTAGCTATGGTTATGTTATCAATTATGTAGTAAGCAAGATTAAGATAGATGTACACTGTATGCAGTATAATGAAAAGGTTATACTGTACTTTTCTCCAAGGCTAGCCAGAGCCAAAGGTCATCATAATGGTATTTTAAGGCTAGGATATTAAGATCAAATGAATCTAAGGGGATGCTGATGTGGGTTATCTCTAATGGAAACACAAACTAAGCATTAATAATTTAAACAAAATTTATGTGCCTTTGAAATTGCTTAATGAAGGAGTTTCTTGAAGTTGGTATAAACAAAAAACTTAAATTAGAACACTTTACTGTATATCAATTTCTATATATCTAAAATGGCAAAATAATAATATTAAGGACAAATTTGGAAAATAAATGCTAATGGGATTAATGAAGATGACTAAAGATCAAGAATACTCCAGACAAATCTAGTTTCTCCATGAAGAAATACAGGGTGAAGAATCCTTTATATTACTTTTGGATGAAAAAGTTAAAAACCTGGTCCTTAAAGTGTGGAAAATGATAATGCACTTGCTTTTACCAAGAATTTGTTGGAATTATGGTTCAATTTTATGTATTTTTTTGGCACCCTCCTTTAGCAGTTAAAGATAAAAATGCTGTTTTGAAAATCAAAACTTACTCTGTATTCTGACTGGTCACAGAAACTGTGAACCAGTCTCAAGAACTGTATCTTGAGTGCCACTTCTGGACTGCATTCACACGAGCTCAAGTGACCAGGTACTCTTATTCGCTCTTGATATCTGTGTGTATTACCAAAGGCATTTACAAAAATTAGTGATATTTAATTCTCTCAAATACTTAACATTGTGTGAAATATTATAGTACAGTAGTATCATCCAAAATGTTTGGGACCCAAGTTCCTTACAAAATAGGGATTTTGTGGGCGTTTAGAATACCTCCCTTACCCCTGCCCTCTCTTCTCCGAGTGATTGTTAAATATTACTTACTAAAGAGAATCTTTGAATTTGGCTTTAAATATCCTTGGCATCTTTCCCAAGGCCCCTAACTATTACTTGTAATGTTGCCTCCATCTGTGAACTCGGTCCCAACATCCTAAGCAAATCCCCTCATCCCAACTTCTTGTTCGTCAAATAGGGCGAGTAAATCTGGCATGGAAAGTGTGTTTCAACCAGAGATTTACCAAATCAAGGTTCACTGAATTGAGGTTCCACTATATATGTTTTGTATTACATTTATAAAATGTACATTTACAGTACTACTACATATGAAAATGTTCAGGACTTGACTATATTATACTCTACACAGATGCATTTAGCTAGCATGAGGGGAGAGGGGGGAGGGGGGAGAGAAGATGGGGGAAGGGGGGAGAAAAGATGGGGGAAGGGGGGAGAAAAGATGGGGGAAGAGGGGGAGGGAAGAGGGGTGGGGTGGGGGGAAGGAGACAGACTAACCTAGTCACAGCCAGAGACCCTTTCAATATCTATTAAGAAGATTCCTAATCTTAACATCTAGAATTTATGCAGACCCCCCCCCAAAAAATATCAATTACACTTTGTTCTATTAAAGTAAAAGTTAGACAAATGAGTAAAAAGGTACTGTATGTTAAGTACCATATATAAAACTGGGGAGTGAAGAGAATACAATAGGTGAAACAATTCATGTGTACTCTATAGAGCATTGAAATACAGTACTGTATATGCAGTACTAGAATATACATATTTATACTGTGTTAAACATTTGTAGAGTACAATAAATCTAGACACTAATGTAATAAAGTATGCTAAACAATACAGCGGGTACACGAGTATTCTTACTTACGTTTCACATTTCCAAATAAAAAGATCGAAAAGCTGAGACAGGCGAGGAATAAGCCGCAATTTTGCAAGTTGTGTCTGGACATCTTTTCGCTGTTTACCAAGCAGTAGTAGTCCTAAGACATAAACACTCTCAACACGCTGCAACATTGGACTGGTTAAGGCTTCTAGTTGGCTTGCAATGGCTTGGGGTTGTATTCTATCCATCAACTCTGTCAAAACAATGTATATTAGACTTTAGTGTACAGTATAGTCAATTCACTTGTTAAAAAGAGACATGGAATACATAACTACTTTCCATATTTTCCAAACCTCCTCCTCTAAAGGAAGCTCGTTATCTTGAAAAGGCCACTTCAGATAAATAGCTTCGTATATATTAACACTTGTAAAAAGAGCACTTCAAAATTAGCCGCAAAATTACACACCCAGGTGTGGCCTTCAGAGAAGGCAATCAGCACTTGCTTTCACCAAGAAATAAAAATATGTGGAGGAGAAAATAAGAAAAAAATGGGGTTTCAGCATACTGTTGTAAAAAACACGTTTCTGAGCATGGCCCCTTGGATACTCCTCCATAGCTCCATGACATGGTTATTTGTAAGTGGTCCTGTCACATATCCAGTGAAGGGAAACAGTGGGCAAGCCTACCAATTCACCACTGAGAGGCAAAAGCAATTATCAAAAAGCACTGAGCCAATATGAAAATTTAGCACTTGGAAAGAATACGAAGACAAGGAGCTGGATAAACAAATACAGTAATGCTAAGGCAGAAGAATTAGCCAATTGCTTAATTTTGGGGGGCACAAAATTTGCCAGTATCGCCAAACCAAAAAATTATCCTTCAGTGAAGTGGAATTTCTTCACTTTCATAGAAAAAATTTCTCTATGTGCACACGCACGCACGCGCGCACACACACACACACACACACACACACACACACACACACACACACACACACACACACACACACACACACACACACACACACACACATAATGTATAATATATACATAATGGATCCAACAGTGTCTAAATCGTGCTTGCATTCTGGGGATCATCAGTACTACATAAACCCTTCTCGGTTTGTTGATCGCGTCGTTATACGAAGTTCTAGATTCTGATAGCAAGATCTGCTCCTCAGACACACTATATTTCCTAGATGCTACGAAGGCTTTTGTTGACCGGACCACCCACTAGAGGGTGAAGGGATGACGACGACGTTTCGGTCCGTCCTGGATCAGTCTCAAGTCGATTGTTTACGAAGGCTTTGTTTAAAGCCTTCTTCACATGTAGCCACTTGATTAGCCTTTATCAGTCTTTATAAGTTAAGTGAGAAGGTGGTGGAGGCCAAGATCGTCAGTAGTTTCAAAGCGTTATATGACAGAGTGCTGGGAAGACGGGACACCACGAGCGTAGCTCTCATCCTGTAACTACACTTAGGTAATTACACTTAGGTAATTACACACACACACACACACACACACACACACACACACACACACACACACACACACACACACACACAAATAACTTCAGAATTGCTTTTAAATATTGTACATGGATGGCAAAATACTGAAGAAATTGTTCACAACTTTTGTTAGGCCAAAGCTAGAATATGCAGTGGTTGTATGGTGCTCGTATCTTAAGAAGCACATCAACAAACTGGAAAAGGTGCAAAGACATGCTACTAAGTGGCTCCCAGAACTGAAGGGCAAGAGCTACGAGGAGAGGATAGAGGCATTAAATATGCCAAAACTAGAAGACAGAAGAAAAAGAGGCGATATGATCACTATGTACAAAATAGTAACAGGAATTGATAAAATCGACAGGGAAGATTTCCCGAGACCTGGAACTTCAAGAACAAGAGGTCATAGATTTAAACTAATTAAACAAAGATGCAGAAGAAATACAAGAAAATTCACACACAGAGATCACACTAACGTGATGCATCAAATAAACAAATCCACAAGGGCCGTGACGAGGATTCAAATTCTCGTCACAGCCTTTGTGGATTTGTTTACAAGAAAATTCATTTTCGCAAACAGAGTGGTAGACGGTTGGAACAAGTTAAGAGAGAAGGTGGTGGAGGCCAAAACCGTCAGTAGTTTCAAAGCGTTATATGACGAAGAGTGCTGGGAAGACAGGACACCACGAGTGTAGCTCTCATCCTGTAACTACACTTAGGTAATTACACACAGAGGCTCAGGAACCTGTACATTAGTCGACTGACAGTTCAGAGGCGGGACCAAAGAGCCAGAGCTCAACCCCCGCAAGCACAACTAGGTAAGTACAACTAGGAAAGTACATATAGGGGAAGACAATTATCACATTACATTGATTTTTTTTTTAAACATCCTGGTACTTGCTGCCATTTGTTGAGGACAGCACCAAGAGCACTCATCACTGTTGCTCTCATTCCACCACTCAATTCTCAGCAGAATATTTCACTTAAATGATTATAGAATTTAAACAAAAAATCTTTAATATAGGTGTTTGATGCTTCAAACATTATGTTGCTCCAAACATTAAAACAATTTTTGAAGCATCAAAACATGCTATTAAACACGTTCCATATAAAATTATGCATACTGGCATCGATTCACAAACTTTACAGCCATTTTGTTTTCAAATTATATTTCTTTTTTTTTCTCCTCATCCTCCTCTTGGATTCTTGTTCCTATAACAATGCCCACAGCATATTATAAGCTTCTAGGAGGCACGAGGTGGATACATTACTCAGCATTAGTGAACTTAGGAGAAACTTTGTTGATAATGCATGGTGGAGATAAGTGCAGTACAATATGTGATTTGGAGCAGCTGCATTATGTTCCGAGGGCTGAAGTGAGATGCATGTGCTCATGAGAACACATGCATCCATAAAGGAAGTTAAGCCCTTGAGATTACATGCATCCTTACAAGAGAAGACTGGTAGCAAGGACAATGGCTGATACTAGTAAGTTGTAAGGAACAGCTGGCTCTTCAAAAATTATTTCAAACTCTTTCTTAGTGTTACAAAAAGTGCAGGAAACAAAGTCGATGAGAAAAATGTTAATATTGTTAGTTTGGGATGCCCAAGTTAGGTATATAGAAAAAACTTCTAGTGAAAGCTCTATAGGAATAAGAGGATCTGCTATTATGAATACTGAAAGTAATATGAACAATCCCATAGTTTTTAGTTTTTCTCAGTGCTGGTGACAAAGAGGTAGAAGAGTGTAGTAGTGAAGCATTGTTAGTCAAATTTATGACAGCAGTTGAATAATTGTGGTATTTATTGCCAATTTATCAGTCAATCTGCTTTGTTTCATTAAGTTTATCAGATATATTAAATAACATTAGAATGAAGTTGTAACTCACTTTTCTATATAACTTATTCAATGGATGGACTTAAATGTGAAATACCAATACCTGTTACATACAAAGAAGAATTCGAGTTGAAGGGCATCATCTGTGACTCGTGCTGGCAGAGCACCTCAGACATGGAGACTTCAATCAGACGCATCCAGTGATCGACTTCCATGGTCTGCCCCTCGTACCGAGGCTCGTCTGAGTGATAAACAGAATTTATAAAACAGTAATAAATACTTAATTCACAAAGAAAATAGTTGTCACTTTCCTTTGCTCCTTACACCCTAGTCAATCTGAAGTAAATAACACTGACCCAAGTAATTTACCTTGTATCCGACACTGGGAATGAGACATCCTGAATAATCCATATTGTTTGATAAAGCATTCACCCTTTAAAAAATATCCACATAAATACTTGTATATATATTTAATCTAAATGTTGTGCCTGCAGGTACCCAGATCGACCCCAAAAGGTTGCACCATTTAACCCTTAAAGTGCAGTTATCGTTATACGTTAATTCACGGGGTAATGCAGTTATCATATGTTGACAAACTATTATTGTTTGGGTTTTGCACAAATGATGCTAGATACAGAGGATGAGTTACAATAACATGGCTGAAGATATAACTACCAAACCACACATCAGATAATTAAAAAACGATGTTTCAGTTCGCCCTGAAAATGTTAGGACTGGTTCCAAACCTGCACCAGAAATAAGACCATGGCAGGATGTGCAAAATAGCCCCAATGAAGAGCAGAGGTGCAGCATACACACTAAGAGAGAACTTGATCAGCATCAATACTTTCAATACACTTCCCCCACACACACGAGGCATAACTGGCTGACCTCTCCCAGTGTTCAAAAGAAAACTCAACCAGCACCTTCCAAGGATACCCGATCAACCAGGCTGTGACTCTCATAAGGCTGCAAGCAGCCACATCAAACAGCCTGGTGGATCAGACCAGCAACCAGGAGGTATGGTAAGAGACTGGGCTGCGGGGACATTAACCGCCAGAATCTTCAACAGGCAGGAAGTGGACCTATATCAAGTCATGAAATAGAAAGAGTGGAAGAGACAAGTAAATAAGGTAGAAAAGTGAGATGAAAGATGATAAGCATGTAAGAGAAAGAAGAAGGTAAGAATAAGATGAAAGGTAAGAATAAGAGGAAAGGAAAGAATAAGAGAATCTGGTAAAGGAAAGGTAAGAAATAAGGAAAGAAGGGAATAGAATAGGAAAAGGTGTAAGAAAAAAATTTGAAAAAATGAACGAAAAATAAGTACCAGTAAGTAATGAAAAACTGCAGGAAGTCAAATGAAGATAAAAAACCCAGTAACGTACGAGACATTGGAAAGAGAAGTAAGAGGGGACAAAGCTCAAGTCAGATCTTATTTGTTAAGAACATAGGAGCATTTAAGTATGTATTGTGAAAGTTAAGTGTCAACAGCAACAAAGCCAGGATTAAGGTACCCCTTAGCAGATGCAGACGGGTCACCAAGACCCGGGTAAGATACGTAAAAATGTGAGGTGCCAGATTCAAGTCAAAAGGAAGGCAACAAAAGCGATAAGCATGATGACGAGCAGAGCGAGCATCGTGCTGACCAGACGAGGGCGGCTCAGAAACTGGTACCAAGGGCCCACCTTGACCAGAAGAACCCTAAGCCCTAGCACGACCCCTCTGAAAGGCCCGAGAATGGCCACCCTTGCAGAACCAACAAATCCGAAAGAGGACGGCAACTATATGTGGCCGCCTGCAGAAACTGAGTCACAACACTGTCTGCAAACAACAACGGACAAAAGGGCGAAGAAAATCTAAGAGCCAGGGCGTAGGCAGATTACAAGGAGAGAGCGAGGACGGCTTGGCAACATGCAAGGCAAAGAACAGACACCGCCTCCCAGAGTATCAGCGCAAACAGCTTTAACAACGCAGTCGACGCCCTGGCCATGGAGGCCCAGCACTCAGTGCCTCTACGTCCTCCCCAAGCCAGTCCAAAAACAACTCAAGAAGGAAAAAGAAGCGCAAGACCGAGGTCAAATGCCCCGCAGCCAAAGTATCCGTAAGGGAGGGAACCTGCATGTGCAGCTGCTGAAGACCAACATCCTGAGGAAGCACAGGGGTGAAAAAGCAAGCATCGAGGCACTATAGAAGCTAGGGAGTGTTACAGTTGAAGATACACCAGGAAAAAATATAATTAGAAGGAACAGAAAGATGATCGCTATGACACGGGCTTCCTACCCCTGCAGTAGCACTCAAGATTATAGCTAGTTGGTAAATACATGACACATTCATTTCATATTCTGTCCTTAGGCCTTAAATCATCAGTACCCCATTTTCTACTTTCACAGAGTCGTGAGGCAACAGCCCAATAAAGAGGAAGTAAATATAGTGAAAATAACAGATAATATTACAAACAAACGCACTCATCATATCATCCACTACTTGCAAATATTACCAGAACCTTGATATAATAGATTAACAAGGAATGTAAGCAAAATCTTCATTCACTAAATATCACTATTACAGAAGTGCTCAATAAAATATTAAGGAGCACAAGTTACACACACAAACAGGCCAAACAATTAACATAGGCCAAAAAATTAACATGTCCAAAATGCTGCTAATCACAAGTAAGGTTTTCAGATCAAGAACAATTCTGATTTGAGGACTTACATGGCAGTTTTGTTGCAAATTTAACTAGCCGTGGAAGGAATTGTGGGATGCTAAGAATATACTCTTGGTTGATATCACGAAGAGGCGAGAGGCTCTTAATATTGCTGCGAAGTTTACTCTGTTCATATACTGCAAGTAGACAATTTTATATTACTAAATATAGGAAACTTTTCCTTAACCAATTTATTTATTTTTTCCAAAAGCTTACATTGTACAGTGTATTGTGTGTAATTCACATTTTTGAACCAGCAAAATTTATATATATATATAAAAAAAAAAAAAAAAAAAAAAAAAACACATACAAGTTGTACCTTACACAGAGACCTATATAACATATCTGAATAGAAAAGGCGTAAGACAAAATGTACTCAGGAGCAGGTCTGCAATAAACGTCTGTGTATTAGCTAGCAGTAAAAATCTCTCAAAGAGAAATGCCAAGACAGCCTAATACCAATCCTAACAACGAGCTAAGGTCAACACTTAAAAGTTTCATTGGAATAATGATGTTGCACCCAAGATCATTATTATTAGTTGACTGAAATTGGAATTTAATAATTAACAATATTAGTATATTCAAATTTATTCCTACTGACCTCAGTTTGTCAGCTATCACTCCACGTTCAAAGACACTGAGGTGGACAAAGTAGAATGAAAAAGAATAATGTGTAAACTTGGGTTATCAGCGAGTCCAAAAGAGAAGAAGATTGGCAGTCTATTTCTGGGATTGTGCAAGGGCAGCAGCCAAGGAAAAAAAATATGTGACCTGTACATGTACAAGTGATGACCTACTGGAACTGTGTTCAGAAATTGATAATGTGAATCTTGCCAATATACCCCAGGTAAGGTAAATAACAATAAGCAATCTGTACTGGTGCAACAATACAGGCTACTGCAATGTACAGTATTAACAAATATAAACATGACTTATTCTCTACAGTACTTCTACAAGATGAAACACTTGAGACACACTTCAATAACTTAATTTACATATAAAACAACAATTCCTTGGCACTTACACAGAGTTTTGTTTTCATAAACATCTAGATCTGAAATTGTGACTGCAAGGATACTGCAGAAATTAGCCAGGTACTCTCCGTCCAGTTTACTAATGAGCCGTTCAAGTCCAGCTGGAAAATAAAGCAAAGATAGCACATTAAAATTGTATCAAATTTGTTCTCTAGATCTTTAAAATTATGGCTATGCATAGATGCAAACTGTGTCAATATTACTGAAGAAGATCTATTCTTATAAAAGTATGAGAGAATTAACATGATCTCATCTAATACTGATTTATCTCTGAAATATTAATTAATTATTAGATGTTTTACTGAACTATTCTCAGTCTCAAATAAAGCAAAGGATTTTTTTATTTCACACAAGATTAACAAATAAGGATATGTATTTTCCTATATTATACTGTACTACTGTAACCAGATGAGTGCATCTCGCATATCCAGTTTATTCAAGTGCCTCATTGTTAGGAGCACCATGCATCTACCATGTACAGTAGTTGCTATTTTAGCAATCAAAACTAATCTCAACATTTTCCTTTTCCATCACACTGCAAATAACAACTATCACACAAACAAACATTAGTGTAAAGATCACATCTTAATGTTAACAAGATTGATTTTATATTTTATTTTTTACTGTAATACCACTTTACAATAGTCAGAAACTTAATTGGCACAATCTTGCAGCATTCATTTGGCTAACAAATACAACAGGAGCCTTGATGAGGGTTCGAACCTATGCACTGGGTGTTCCCAGGCGAGCTCTAGCCAACTGAACTACGACATGGTAATAGAACCATTTCTTTTACCATGCCATGGTGCAGTTGACTAGAATGCACTTGGGAACACCCAGCGCATAGGTTCAAACCCTCATTAAGGCTCCTGTTGGATTTGTTCACTGATATATCACATCAAAGTGATCTCTGTGTATTCATTTGGTTATTGTTTCAATGTTCATATCTTTGAAAGCATTCAAGTCAAAAAGATTCCTATTTTATTTTCAAATCTTTCTGTTCATAAATTCTTAACATTAAAATGGATTCTTTTCACATACAAACACTGTGTGTAGTAAATTCACCACTTAAATTTACCCTGTTAGTGACCTAAAGCACCAAGATAACCAGATATTAGTGCACACACAGTTTTTCAAATCCATCCTTAATTCATGTCAAAGATTTTAATTGCATAATTAACTAAAAAGCATTTCTGCACTCTGCATTTCTTTTGAACATGCCCAAATTATAAAATGTTTGGAAAACAATGAAACAACTGTATAGAGTGAAACATTATGACATCAGACCTTTCATACAGCTTTCTGTACAATCAGCGGCAATACATAGGTAACCCGAACTTCAATTCTCATATTAAATATAAATCAACACACACACACACACACTATACTTTACTCATAATAAAATGCCTCCAGTCATCATGTTCAGTGTCACTAATGTACATAATTATTTCTCATGCTAATGTACTTCCTGCCGACCTTCTTGACCTTCCCCTTAAATTCACTCATATTCTAGTACTTTCTTCACTATTATTTATACAGTAATCCATTAAACCAGCATAGCCACACAATCACATTACATTGATTGCATGACAAACTTGAAACTATCACTATTAAACAACATTTTTGTTTCATTTTCCCCTTTCACCTACGTATTGTATTGAGCTGAAGTGTGCTTTTTCTAAGTATAAGGAGATGTTCGATGAGGGTGATGGCCTTGGTGTATGTTTCAGAGTCCAGCATCAGAGAAAAAAGAATCTGGAGTACTTCGTCACTGTCACTCAGCTGGTTCCCAATGCTCGTGTCCTGGCAATACATACAGTATTGAATTAAACAATTAATACAGGTTAAAGAAAGTGGTTCAGCAAATCTGCTCAAACACTCCTTGACATTTTTATTCTTTATACAGATAAGAAAGGTTAGATGTTTATGCAATACATAACTTACAAGTATTCTACCTGTTTACCTGATGCTTATTACAATCTTGTTGGGGGAAAAGAAGTTTTTTTACAGTACTGCACTAGGTAATAAGTATCATTGTTTGTCAGTTTTTCAGTTGTATTTTAAAGCTAAGCTTGGTTTTATTTCACTGGCTATTGTAGCCTAACCTAAAACTTGTTTTTTCTGGCCACCACTCGGTCAGACTTGCTAAATGTGGCCCATAATTGTTATCCAGCAGTGCAAGCACATGTCTGAAATTATATTGCCTACTGCAACATGAATAATTCCTTAGCAAAGGCTCTTTTGTTCCAGAAACATGTCTACTGTCTCCAACCTGAAAAGTTTAATAGTTTTGAATACATGATGTTGCAGTCTTCTCTAATTGTACTAGTGGCCTCCCAACTTTCAGAGGGCTTTTCATAAATCTTCATTCTCATTCCAGTAGGATGTATTTTGGTGTGCAGATCAGGAACTTCATAAAATATTTTGCATGCACAAATTATATTTCCCTCATCTATGTTCAACAAAGTATTACACTGAGGCAATCCCAGTAGATTTCCTGTGTAGCTTAGATATATTAGCTTAACCCTTGAAATGCAGATACTAATCTTAACACTTTCGCCCAGGCATAACGCAGCATTGCGTCATCCGTTTACTGTCGGTAATGCCGGGGATGACGCAGCATTGTGTCATCCACTTTAAATAATCGCCAAAAATCAGGTTTTTATCCAATTTTTGGGGGACTGGTTTTAAAATGCGCGCCGATGTCTTCCCATTTTCTTTGTTGCGCCTCGTGGCCCGCAGGCGGCTCGGCACACGCCATCGGCCCATTGTTTTAGCTCCACTGTTGTGACCGATGTCGCCTCCCCTCGCATCTCAAACGTGTGAACATTTCGGCTATTTTCCGTGGCTATATTTCTTACTGCGACTTTAGAAACTATCTACGCTTACTCCACGATGGATAGTGATCATGAACAAGGCCCTTCCAGGAAGAAAATTGCGAAAGAAAGGCTTGAAAAGGGCGGGAATTGGGAGTGTAGCTGGAAGGCGTCTGAGTGCTCACTCGAGGCTAACGCGTGGCTCGTCTTCAACTCGTCGGCGGTTGGAGCGTGACCAGGTTTTTTATTTTATATGCTAATGTTCCTCTAGAGAATTCTATTGCGAACTCATTGAGACCAAAATGAAAGACCTAGGACGAAAATTGAGGTGACCAGAGTGAAAATAGTGAAAACATTTTATCGTGTTTGCGCGCTCCTGGGTAACTCGTTCGCACTTTCTCTGTTTGCTGCGGGTAATTAGCCGGGCTTTTGGAGTTTATATGCATTTAGTGCTGTAGAGAATTCTATTGCGAACACAATGATACCAAATTTAATCTCGTAGGACGAGAATTAAGGTGACAAAGTTGAAGAGAGTATACACTTTTCAGAATTTACGCGCGCTCCCGTGAAACCCTAGGACCCAAATTGCACAGTTGAGGGGTGGCGCGCGGGGTACGCCAAAGTGTCACTACCCATGGTAGTGCACATGACAGCCTAACATACTTTAGATACTTTTCAGCATCTGAAATTCACACAGGTACATTGGGACCTGATATTGGTATATCAGGTCCCCAGTAAACATCTGTATGAAAAGTGGCATGATTTTTGGGACATTTTTCTATGCTCAGGGCATGATTCCTATACAAAATTGGAAAAAAAAAATTGTACGAATACTATTTTTCTATGAAAATGCAGATAATGCCATTTGTACCCCCTTTTGCAATGGCAAAGGTTCATCCTTTTATGATCAACACTTCCTTTAAAAAGAGAGATTTACATTACTGCAAACGTTCATCTAATTTCACCTCTCTTATCTACTCACCTCACTTACTATTATCCCTTTACTTAAACTAAGATCTATAATGACATTACCATAGTGCCAAACTTGATGTTCCTTGGCACACAGTCTCATCTCTTACAAATTGGAACTTACCAATGTGGTGAGTTTTTTGAGGATATTGAGTGTAGTTGCTTGCAGGCTGCCAACACTAATGGAATGGTCACATCTCTCCAAATCACAACACTGACCTCCAAGATCCGGCAACATCAACAGAGATACCAGAGTCTACCGAAAATAAAACAAAATGGTAAACAATTGGAAAAAAAAATATTTTCTTTCTTGTTAATTATTTTCTTGAAATAGTTAAAAAAAAAATTATTAAAATGTTGACATTAAGCAAAATCATGCCTTAAAAAACTCTGCAAACCTATATAATTTATCACATTCCATATACCATAAATACCGAACCAAATCTATTTAAGTGCATAATTTAATTTGATATGGGTTATTGATCAAAATTATAGGACTTGCCAAGTATTCCAATCCCCTACCACAGTATATTTTATTTTGCAACAGCTTTTTTTAACAAAAAACAAGTGCTCTTCAAAACACAAGAATGTAACTGGTTTATAACAAGATTTCCAAGTACAGTATGTGATAGAGTATTATATGCTAGAACTTCTCAATGCATGTATATACAAAGACTTAAACAAAACATATTTGAACACACTTTGCAGTGAAAACTGTGGGCTTAGTAAAAAAAAAAAAAAAGGTTCATGATCATTGTTGAACAAAATGTCTCTCATTCCGGACATAGTTCACTCACAGAAAAAAATGTAACATGTTTAGATAAATGAATTTGCAGTGGCATGGTGTTAAGCTGTATACAGTACTGTACATAACTTTCTGCTAAAAATAATAGCTCAGCTATGAACTCGTCAGAATAATTGTCACAATCTCTCTCTCGTTCAATTTACAGTACAGTACAATCTAAATGAAACATTTCTAAAATATAAATGTATTATTATTATGAATATAAATAAAAGTGCATGATTAGGAAAAATAAGAATACATAATTTATAAATTATACTGTATTACAATAAGTGATGGATTTAATCAGGATTTTTCGCATATTTTTCGCATCCACCATATTTAGGTTCAATTTTTGGCAGTGCAACTATACAGCACAGTAATGCCTTATAGATATAAATATTTAAATGCTTTAAATGTTTAAAATTATTATTTTTAGCAGAAAGTTATATACTGTATTCAACTTTTGGTTGCAATTTTCTTACCATGTGGGGTCTGTTTTGTTATGCCTACCTTTCTGGGTGCCTAGCCCCAGTCAATCTCAGATAAGGAAAAACCCCAACCACAGGAGGGGGGGGTCCAGGGCCACTACTCCCTGTGCCTCTCTGAGAGGGCCAGGTTCTGGCTCATGGTCCCTGGTAGGCTGAGCTCCATAGACTAATGCCCCAGTCTAATGTTTCGCATATTAGCCCGATAGCTCCCAGGGAGCCAAAGGGGCTCCCACAGAAAAGCCCTTATATCCCAAATGAAGGAAGTGGGAGATTATAAGTACTGATGACAGCAGAGTGTACAGCAGGGAGTGCACTAACAGCAGTGCAAGTCCTCTGAGAGCAGCCTCATAACTAGCAAAATCCACTATCTTCAAGATAACAACGTGAAAGGAGATGAGCAGAGGCAACCTGAGCAACTTAAAGAACTAGACAAAGCAGCCAGACACTTCCTAAATGAAGACAATGGCCAAAGGAGAAAACTACACAGAAAACACTGTTAACATAGAAAGCCTGAATGGTAAAGCCCAGATCAATCCCACAACAAAGAAAGAAAACCCAAATTCCAAAGGGAAAATGCAACATGCTCGAGGGGAAACAAATCAACTGCCTAGCAAAGATCAAAAAAGGAATTTCGAATGCAAAACACAGGAAACCGAGATGATCAGAGGAGATATGTCAGTAATCCAGATAAGTACAGAAAACTGTCAACACAATCCTGAGTGTAAGGCTGACACCTACAACATTTAGCAGAGAGGACTTGGAAACACATGAGAAATGGAAAAAACCTTGCCGGAGAATAACTGCCGAGATAGGAAATCCAGCGGTCACCCTGGAAATCCATAAAAGCTGTAAACTCAAAACTATGAGCCAAACCTACACACCTCAGGAGAATAAACCATCAATGGCTAAGACATGGCCAGGAAAGCCACCCCATAAGTTTGAAAAAGAACTCTACACTGAAGACTTGATCAGAACCAGAAACGGACAGACAAACAATGGCTGGCACCCAAGGAAGTTGTAAAAATCAATATGTACCAGAAAGAAGAACCGATACTTGCAACACACTGGTGAAGAAAGACAACAACCATCTGTGTGTGATGTCAGGCAACCATCCTCAGAGCCAGGCCCAAAGAAAAATCTGATATGCCCAATCACAAGTGAAGGAAAAAGGCCAGCAACAAACAGCAGAGCAAGCAGGCAAGTCTGTGTGCAACACGTGAAGCCAATACATACTCATCACACGCAAGAGCCGTTTACTACTATTTGTCATGTGCTTGCTTGAAGTCTATAAGCCCCTTAGAATCTTTCTCAAATGTCTTATCCACAAATAGTCTAATAAACATTATGTAATCCAGATATTTTCCTCCATGAAACTTTCATCCCTGATCGATTATTCAGATATTCCCTGTTCTCTGCTACCCAGCCACAACTTTGCCCAATATGCCAAGTAGACTGAAGTTTAATAATTCTTACATTTACTGTTCTAACTTGATTTGATATAGTACAATCAAAAGTGTTTTTCCAATCATCTAACATAGTACATCTACCCCCATGGCTTCTGGGAAATTTTCCACACTTACTCCATGCTTTTTCCACTGCACATAATTTTTCTATGCTCCTAATCAATACCATCAATGTTCCTACAGTTCAGTATCTACACTGATATACTTAAACTAAACTCTTCCATATACAGTGTCTAATGGTATTGTATCTTGCACTCTTCTTACACCAGGAAATCCAATCATATTCACATTAGCATTTTTTTAGCATCTTCAACTATCAGACATTCAAAATTCTAATTTCTTCTCTAACAACTAACATTCTTCTCTGCCTACCCTTAAATATTCTCATTTACTAAATGTTTCCTTGTTACACTGATTTATTACTTTCTGATGTTGATCTTTACTAAAAAAAATTAAAAAAATAGATTAGCATTCACTATTTTTCTGCTTAACTAACCTTTTATTCATTATATTCCTGTTTTCTTGCCTCTGTGTTCAAACTGAATTCACAACATCATTATTTTTTTATTTATAACTTAATAACTTTATAAATTTTCAAATTTATAACTGAATGCAGTAAAGAAATCGACTTTGAAGAATTTCTGCAAGAAAAATCCTCACAGCTAGTCAACAATGAAGAGGAAGGTATGAATTTTGAAGGGTTTACAGATGAAATCCATGGAATATTCAGTAATGCTGATGAAAATTTAGAAAAACAGGATGTGGTTGAATGGCTAGAAAGAGATGCTGACGACCGAGGATATGGTGTGATGAGCAAAGAAGAGATTCTCCAGTCTGTTACTGGTGAGGTCGATGAAGAGGAGGAGGAAGATGGCAATACAGGAGGCCAGCTAAACCTTGAGTCTTATTTGGTAAGAATGGCACCCAAAGGCCCCTCAGCCACTGAAGCCTCACAATGAATCTAAAGACCTTCAACAAGTGATGCTTCACCAGAAAGCCAAGAGACTTCAGACAATGTAGCTTCAGCAGCCGATAGTCAAAACTGGCCTTGCCAAGCTCATGTACTTACTGTACAGTAATTTTAGTCCTTAGTTAGGTTTTGTAAATTTTCCAAAAATTATTGATTTGAAGGTATACTGTACTGTACTGCACAGTACTGTATGCAGCACCAATGAAGACAAACTACAACAAGATGAAGTTTCTGTTTTAAATTACAGTACTGTACAGTACTGGTTTATTTTTTAATGATAGTGCGAGTGGAAATTCAAATTATGTCGGTTATGATATATAAAAAAAAAAAAAAAAAAAAATTGAATATGTTCACCGTTGGACTTCCCTGTAAGAATTCTGCTTATTTGTATGTCTGGGTTTTCCAGTAAGGAGTTTTTCTCATAATTTGGATAAGCAAGCTCATACAGTATACCATGAAAATAAATTCTAAATGCTTTGCTTTATAGTACAAAAAATAAATAAAACAATACAAAATAAAAACTATTTTTGTACATTTTCTAATAGATAAAATATGTCCATATAACTTAACACTTTCACTGGCCCATCGCGCACAACAAGGTAGGCCGAGCGTTGCCTGTGAGCTCACCACCACATTCCAATGTTTATACTCCTTTTAAGCTTTCTCACCTCAATTTTCATGCTACGTTGCTCAATTTGGTATCAAATTTGGAATGAAAAGACATTGGTGCACATTTTGAAACAAGTCCCATATTATTCAGACAATAAATTGAATATTTAATTTTTTTTTAAATTAATGACACTGTTTGCGTCATCACCCACTGAGTGTTTTGGTTTTATGCCACATAACTCATTATCAGGGAGCCAAAGTGTTTGAGACTAAATATTCCCAATACTGTACATAAACGATCATAAAAACAAGAATTGTATATAATCACCAAGACATTTGCACAATAGTGAAAAAGAATAGTGACACCATGCTGGTGTTAAGCTGATGTCCATGACTGTACTTGGCCACATTATTATGAGTGTTGCCTAATTAGTACTTAGAGGATGGTTGGTATAATAGAGAAGTTAGTAAGGGCCAGAAGATTATCCACTTACATATTCCAGAACATTTTGCATCTACAGACTAGATTATGATATTTCCAATCAATGTACTATCATCTTTCCATTCATGCTTTAGGCTTCTTGGATAAATAATAATTTTGTTTTTGTTTCAAATTTTAACTTAGGTGACTTAGAACTGTCAGGTTTTATCGTGTCATTCTTTAACCATCTTGTCCCCTGCGAGACCTCGGAGAATATGTAGCACAACTAAGGGCAACATACTACACAATGTCCCATATGTAGACTCTTTGGAATGGAATAGCTCAGAAATCAGGCTTCAAGTATACATGGAGAGCATTTTACTGAGCAGCACACACACAGCTGCTTCCATTCACTACCTTCCTTTATCTCCCCTCTGCTTAGCCTTGGGGTTAAGGCAGAATGTACAGAAATTTGGTGGAGGGTTCTGTTGTGTCTAGAGCTGCCACCAAGTAATAGTCTGGGATTACTGACCTAGTATGCCATTCAGTAGATAGCTTGGGCACTGCTCGCCTTAGGAAGCAACCACGTGTACTCCTCAAAATAAATGTTTTCATATTTACTCAATGCCAATCTGAGATATTGACTTGAAATCAAAATCTATGTTTAATACTGGTTATGAAAATTTGGGTCTTAATATTTAAGAAAGACTACCTGTCATATTATTAAATACAAGATGTATACAGAGTTCAGCGAAGTTTGTTTGTATCCTGTCTCAAAGTTTAACCTTTTTAATTGATGCAACTCTACTAAGAAGAACCCTCAAAGAAAAATGGTAAACAAATTTCTCTTTAATTACACGGGGCAAAAACAAATTGAATCAATAAATAGGACAATATCCTAACTAATAACAGTTATCACTGAAAAAAAAATTTTAAAGAGAAAAAAGAAAAAGAAAAAAGAAAATTTTCTGAAATATGAACACTTAGCAAGGACACCAAACACTCCCTCTTTAATTTTATGAGAGGGTGCTGAAAATGATACTGTATCAACATGATGGGGAGAACAGTCAACTAATACCCTTGTAAAGCAGATATGAGTTAAGCGAGAGGAAAATAATAAGCAACCAAAAAATAAAGAAAATTGATAGAAGCTTATAATCTCAAGAAAATAAGGTATATACATATCTCCTGCCCTATCCCAAGATAGTAATTGCCTATCAACTGTACAACAAATGCTGAGAGCATCTATTAAGCACTCACCTTTACACCATTGTGCTTGCTAATGAGGGAAATTATATCACCCATCACAGCACTGTCTCCAAGATTCTCCTCTTGGCCAGAATTAAGGTTGTTAAGTAAAACCTGTAAGTGGATGCATCATTTGAATAATGTTTAGCTATTTAGCATAATGTACTGTAAAATAAATTTTTCATAAAGGACAAAATGCAAGTGTAATATTTTGGAATATTTTATACCATACATACTGAGCACAGACATTTAGAATATGTTATGATTCAACATCTAAATTTTATAATTAAGATCAAGTCACTGAAGAATATGAATAAATTATATAATTAAGTCAATAGGAAATTCCTAAGTAAGAGGATTAGTTACAAAGTTTTAGTGTAGTTCATTACCTTGAGTTGGGCCATGAGAGAAAATTTTGTGACATCAAATTGCTGCAGCGCTGCCTCGAGAATTCTTAGGGCCCTCATGATCTCACTATGTGGCATGTGATCCAACCCGTCCTCAGGAACCTGGCGAAGAAAAAGTACTCTTCTCACACATTTCTATCATAAAGGTTGAGTGTATACTGTTTGTAAAACATAATACAGGCTAGCTGTTACCTTTACTTCCAAGCACACCACAGTATCTATGACCTCATTGTGTGAAGAGGTCATTAGATTAGGATTAGTGTGGGATTAGAGCATTCAATGAAGTCTCAAAATACTGAACTTCAAATTGTCCATCTTCTAAAATCCCTTTTTTTTTTTTTTAATTCAGAGATAGCTTAAGTCTTCTGATATTTTGTTTGCAGGCTAAAGAGTTATCCGTAACACAGTTCATCATAATTTGAATTATCTTTGTTGGGGGACAGCAAGCCTGCGCACAATATACTTTAGATTTGTATCAGGTTCCCACACCTAAGTCAAACTACTGTACTGACATTCCCAGAATGCAACCCCAACAACAGCTGCCTAACCTCAATGTACAATACCTATTTACTGCTAGGTGACCAGAGGCCTTAGGTGAAAGGAAATGTGCCCAACCACTTCGGTCTCACCTGGGAATAGAACCCAGGATTCCCAACTAGGGGTCAAGAACGAAGCCAACCGTAGTATGAAAGCTTTACTTTGCATGTTTTTTCCTGAACAAGAACTGCCAATTGTTTTATCCTGGCTCCTAATTACTGCAGGATTCAAAGAAAAACAGTGAAGGAATAGTGTCTAATCTTTCAACCATGACCATTATATAAATTCATAATTTAATACAGCACTATCAATACTCATTCAAAACCCACCTGGAAAGTATTTTTCTCTTCACAAGTGAGTATAGGACAGACTCCTGTTAGCAGGCTCTGAGCTTTCCTATCCCATAGCAAGCCTTACCCACTAGTTTCCCTGGAATACGACCCACCAAACATTTAATAACCAGGTACCCAATCACTTCTAGGTGAATAGAGGCAAACAATTAAGGATTGGCTCCTAGTCAATCCTTCCTAACCAAGATACGAACATAGGCTAAATCACTCGCAAAGCGTGGGGGCAGGTGTTACCACTGCACCACCAAAGATTGTATTTAAAATGTTACGTAATTAATCCTACCCTACTCTCTAATAAGCACAACAAAACACTGTACAGTGGGCAGCAGCAAAAGTAAATAAGAACATATGAAGGAACAATGCATTAAGGCCTACTGGTCTATGTGAGAAATGTTCAATTTTATAGCAAAAACTTTCTCTTAAAGATTTGGCTAACAAATTCACCAAGATACTGCATTTGCTTCAATTGTTCCTTGGCAATTTGTTACACTCATCGACAAGTCAATTATTTAACCATGTTTTTCATATATCCCTTCCACTGCCAATAGATCTTTGAAACTTGACATAGCTCATTATGTTGGACCAGTTGTTGAACCAAAACAAGATAAGGGTCCATTTTCTGAGTCCTTGTTACTTGAATCATGTCCCGTTGCCCACTCTCAGTTGAAAATCTGCTGGGTGACCACATTCACTAAACAAGATCTTTAAATACATATAGAGCTTAAAAAAAAAAGATAATATAAATGATCAAGTGATTACATAACAAAATAGTGTGTGATTCAGTGATTACTAGGCTGAAATTAAATTAAAAACTATTGAAAGATGACTCAGTGCTGTAAATTATCCCAGAAACTGAAGCTAAAACATAAGAGGACAAATTAATACACTGTTTATATCTGATCATATTTACTGTCAACTCTTGGATAAAAGTTAAACTTTGCTAATTTCTCTTCATATGCTCTAACCAAACCTCTTGCTGCACAATCACCCAAAAATAGCACCAAAACATTGTCTGCCACAGCTGGTGCTGCCATAGTTGCATTATGGGTCTTATGCATGAAATACACAATATGACAACCATAATGAATTCACCACTTATATTAATATGGTACACAAACCCATTTTTCTTACCATACATAATTTAGTTTTACTGTTAATTACGTTTAATTACAAAATACCAAAAAATAACTATGTTCAATCAATTTTCTATTTTTAATCCTTGGTCAGTGTGCCAGAAGGCAGTAGAGTTGAAAACCAAACCTATATGCAGTAATATAATAAACTAAATGTTATCAGCGACATCAAACTCCCTACCAACAAGTGTTTACACCATCTTCATGCCGAGTGCATTATACATTATGTTACTGTACTTCACATTCTCTAGTGTTCAAATAATGGTGCCCAATAGTCCTGTACCAACAAGAGAGATTAGGTAAAGGTGTTTCTGGTTTGCATATTGTAAATGACTTAACATATTCCTTAAAATATTTAATACAGGCAGTACAACTATGATACAAATTATAAATTAGTGTTGAATACATTTGCCCGAAGGCAGATAGCGTTTGGTGAGGTAGCGTTTGCCGGAAACGCTGTTCGTATTAGTGGCTTTAGGTATTGTATGTACTAGCTCTATCTATAAATTCAACATTATGTTTGTAACTTCTCATCTATGTAATTTTACTTTAATAAAAATGTTGAATTTGAATTTGACATAGCTTGTTTAATTGCTAAAACTGGATACATACCCTGTGGGCTACCCTCTCCAGTGGCCTTAGTTTAGACAAGTTAGATTAAGGAGGTTTCAATACAACAAAAAATCCATTGGCAAACTTTTAAGTATGCAACAGCTTGCAGTTATCTAACTGAAGTTGGGCTCAAAAAAAAGCAAAATGTTACATTGTTACATTACATTAAATGTTTCATCGCTACTCTTTTTAATCTCTCTACCCTAACAAAAACAAAATACATTTTTGTGTTTCATATAAACTGTGTGCGGGGTGTGTAAAATCACAGTGATATCGCCAGCTTGTCTGCAGCAACATCTATAAAAACCTATTAGCGTATACTGAAATCTTCACCGTACTGCTGTAACGGGCAGTCCGAATATAATATGGTTGATATGAAAGCCTTCCCAAAAGCACTGCATAAAAAACACTCACTTGGTATAACTCAAACACATTCATGTCTGCTTAATTCATAATAAATACAATCTATATTGCAGGTCCTTATGCAGGACGAAGCCTCCAAGCAATTCACTGGCCTATAGGATAGGCCTTAGAGACATATGTTTACAGATAACGACCAAACCGGAATAGCGATCATATACAAACCCATCTGGCTTGCTTTTCTACGATAGCCTGGGTCTCCGATACCAAAGATAGCCAGATATCATAAGATACCCCAGGTGAGTGTTGGCCAGGGTAGATCACCTCCCCCACACTCACCAGAAACACAGTGTTCGTGTCATGGCCGCTGATCTCATTCTTGTAGAGGCGATATCTCGACAGGTTCTTGTATCTCTTCTTGACCAGGTAGCGTGAGGACATGGTGAGAGATGAGGCAGGAGAGAGAGAGAGAGGGTGTCCCCGAGCGACCTTCTTCCTCCAGCTCTGCCCAAACAAACAGCTGATGGCGAGGTGACAAGTGAGCCGCGCCGCGCACCTGCCCCCACACTCTTTCCCGGGAAAATTAAACTAGTCGAATTTCAGGTTTTTTGGGGGGTTAATTACTTCGATGTGTGTAGCTCGGTCTTGTACAGTTCTTTCGAGATATATTTAAATATTATTTATAGTTTATGGAATTGTCTTTCAAGTTAGCACATAGTGGCTTTATAAAATGAAGTAAATAAATGATGATCTTCAGTTTTCGCCAAATTATTATTATTATTATTATTATTATTATTATTATTATTATTATTATTATTATTATTATTATTATTATTATTATTATTATTATTATTATTATTATTATTATTATTATACATTCACATTTTAAAACTCATGTCAAAAGTCAAGAAAGGAAATCATCCATTATCTCACAATACACAATCTTGTACAAGCATCACAGGACGGTTTTATCAACATATATTTTGCCCACCTGCCTCAAAATAATATTAAGGGCTCGCGATGATCGTGTATGCAGATGACATTTTTATTCAAGAATCTAGGCTAACAAAATTCAAACCGCCCTAAACATTCTTGCAGTAAGATGTCACAAGGTTTAGTTAAAAAAAAATCAAAAGGTTTACTTTTGAAATTTTATTTACTAAGAATTGTATACATTTCTTTGATAAAGTGTTTACTCGTGTCCTTTAATGTTAGCCAAGTTAAACTTAATTATACTATATTACTCTATGTTTTGTCATGTTTGAAGAAAATGGCATTAGCAAGGGTCCAGTTGCTTTTCTAAATTACACCTTGTAATTCCATTCTGTTATTATTGTAATTAAACTACTGTTATTTTCCTTGAGCGTTCTCATTTTAATTCAATTTGTTAGCTTAGTTTTCTTTTAATATTCTTAATCCCTCACATCTTAAGTTAATTTTTTTCTATATTATTTTAAGTTTTGCCTGAAATGCTTTGCATAATAGTTTCTTCATTAGTGTGTGTAACTCCGGTCCGGTCCCTACTATTGTGCATTCCTCTTATGTTCTTTGTATACACGTTCTTTGGAATAAACTTTATTATTATTATTATTATTATTATTATTATTATTATTATTATTATTATTATTATTATTATTATTATTATTATTATAAGTGAAGATAAAGTTATATATAAATGCAGGAGACGAAAAGTAAAATAACACTGTAAATGGTAGGGAAGTGAGCCTGTGTCCACTTCCCTACAAGTGCCTGGGGGGGGGGGAGGGCATGTGTGTGTTTGATACACATGTGAGCGTAAAAACGCTGAAATACATCATATAAGCACCTTATGTGAAGCTCGACAGCATCCTCCGTAAAGATGATGACATTTTCTGGTGCAGGTGTGGAGGTCTCTATCTTGCGGCTGTTATACATACATATTATCTAGTAGTATGTTGTGTAGTTGGCTTCGTTCTCGATTCACAATCGAGGATCTTGGGTTCGATTCTCGAGCGGGACAGCAATGGTTGGCCACGTTTTTTTTAACCTACTGCTGCTGTTCACCTAGCAGTAAACAGATTCCCGGGAGTTAGGCAGCTGTTGTGGGGCTGCATCCTGGGGAGGGTTAGTAGTACTCGATATAACCCTAAAGTATGCAAAACTATTCACATAGAAAAAAAATATTAATCCGAGCGCTCTCGTGATTCAACACGTTTTGCTTCAAAATATATTGAATCATGAAAGCACTCGTATCATTTCATTTTAGCTGAATCACGTATTTTCTTGATTATTCTTGAAGTTTATATATATATATATATATATATATATATATATATATATATATATATATATATATATATATATATATATATATAAACTAGATAATATGATAATAATAATAATATATACTATATTATATACTATAAAGTGTAAAGAAGAATCAAGGCAAATGTGGAGGGGGGGACCTTCGACAAGCCGCCTGCTTCCTGTCCTCGTCAAGGCCATTAGGGTTAATGGCCCCTCAGGTAAATATACGCAGGTTTCTTGTCCCTCACAAAACGAATTAAAAAAAAATAAACAATGTCGGCTCCCTGATGAACTATGCAGCGGCCATTTTGTTGTACAGAGCGGGAAGTGGTATAAAAACTGGAAATGAGAGGTAAGAAACAGAAGGAAACTCCCTGTAAACACACAACGTAACGGTTCCTATTGTTACCTTATTACAACTTGTTACAAAGTAAATAATATAAATAAATAAATAAATGTTTATTTAGGTAAGGTACATACATACAAGAAATTTTTACAAAGATTGGTGGACTTATAGATAGAGCTAGTACATACAATGCCTAAAGCCACTATTACGCAAAGCGTTTCGGGCATGAAATATGGTGGGCAAATCCTTGGAGCAGAACGGGGATCGAACCGGGATCCCGAGGAACCCCAGATTCGCATCCCCACCCTTGGACCAAGGACTTACCCAAATTAACAAAACAAACAAAGATGAAACAAAGCTGTTTCATCTTGTTATAAAGTTTTTATGACGTGTTAGACAGTTGTTACAACTTGCTATATACTTGTTACTACTTGTTAGAAGGTGTTTCCAAAGTTGTTCGAACGTTGTAGAAACGTCGTAGTTTCGTCGTGTTTGGCGGGCTATGAGTACTACTCTTGGGGTGTCGACGAAATACAATGATTGAAGTAACGAAAATGGAATTAAAATTGCAAATTGAGTATGACAGAGTTCAAGTTCAAGTACGTTTATTGAGACAGTAAAATACATCTCAAAGGGCTGGAGTAGCTTAGGCTATTTCTACCCTCCTCTACTTCAAGTCCCTCAAGGGGCGCACAAATCCAGTGAGAACAAATCCACTTAATACAGTACAAGAATCACATTTAACATTGCAGGTTAATAAAGTAAGCACAGCATATAAGTGTTACACTCTTGGGGCAAAGTGCCTGTAGCTCCTAAGTATTCTATATGTCATACCATTATCACACATCCAAACAATTTGATGTAGTACACTATTTAATTCCTTATTTCTATAGTTATCAATAAGTTGGCACTCTAATACATAATGTTCTAAGGTGTGGGCGTGCGGCATATTACATAATTTACACTCTTTATCTTGTTCACTGACATCAACACCGTATTGCCAGATATATTTGTATCCTAATCTTAATCTCATGTAAATTGAATCCTTCCAAGTAGACTTTCCTTTACCATAGGTGAAGGACGAATTTGAATTTATTGTTGAATAATTCTTAAGTGTGTTACTACTGTCCACCATTGCCATTCTCTTAACCTTTTCTTCATCCTCTTAATCATTTTGATTCTTGTTTTTATTTGTTTCAAAGTTTTCTGACATACAACATCAACGAAAGTTTTTTCCGTGGCTCTCTTCGCTATCTCATCAACTGCCTCATTCAACAATATTCTCACATGTGAAATGATCCACATGAATCTTACTTTATACTCACTTTTTCTAATGTCTTAACATTTTCTCTACACTCGTTCACAATATTCTGGTAAATTGGTCGTCTGCTATTTAAAAACTCCAACACTCTTCTACTGTCAATAAAGAAGCAGGCATTTTTACCACATTTGACTACTTCCTGTAATCCTACTAATACACCTTAGAGTTCAGCCTGCGTTGAAGAGACATTGTCAGTTAAGCGGCGTCCAAATAACAGTATCTACAGTGCCGATGTTAGTGTACTCCCTGATCAAGACTCCACATCCTGCCTTCCCATCCCTAGCTACTGACCCATCACAATATACATGTAGAGTGTTTTCTGTAGGTAATTTTCTAATTATACAATCATATGTTGCCCTCAGCTCTCCTATCTCATACATACTGCTTTTCTTTTGCAAGGTAATAATTACTACATCTGCGTTACAGTCCTCCCATGGTAGTGTGACTTGTCTCTTAGGCACAGCAATACATTTTGGAATAACATCATACTTTATAGCATTAGAACATAAGGTTATCTTATTATTATTATATATATATATATATATATATATATATATATATATATATATATATATATATATATATATATATATATGTCGTACCTAATAGCCAGAACGCACTTCTCAGCCTACTATTCAAGGCCCGATTTGCCTAATAAGCCAAGTTTTCATGAATTAATGTTTTTTCGTCTACCTAACCTACCTAACCTAACCTAACCTAGCTTTTTTTGGCTACCTAACCTAACCTTACCTATAAATATAGGTTAGGTTAGGTTAGGTAGGGTTGGTTAGGTTCGGTCATATATCTACGTTAATTTTAACTCCAATAAATAAAAATTTACCTCATACATAGAGAAAAGGGTTGCTTTATCATTTCATAAGAAAAAAATTATAGTAAATATATTAATTCAGGAAAACTTGGCTTATTAGGCAAATCGGGCCTTGAATAGTAGGCTGAGAAGTGCGTTCTGGCTACTAGGTACGACATATATATATATATATATAAGCATGCGCGAACAAGCCTGAATGGTCCCCAGGACAATATGCAACTGAAAACTCACACCCCAGAAGTGACTCGAACCCATACTCCCAGGAGCAACGCAACTGGTATGTACAAGACGCCTTAATCCACTTGACCATCACGACCGGACATAATGAGGTGATAGCCGAGGCTATTTGAACCACCCCACCGCCGGCACTCGGATAGTAATCTTGGGCATAGCATTTTACCAAATCACCTCATTCTTTGGGGCACACGTGAGGAACACAAATGCGAACAAGCCTGAATGGTCCCCAGGACAATATGCAACTGAATCATACTGAATATGCAACATATATAAGCATATATGCTCTCTTATTATACTTTATCATACATTGATCATTACTTCCCACCTTTTGAACTGAGAGGATTAATTCATTAGCTCCCCATCTCTCACTAATCTAATCAAAATCAAAATCAAAATGTTTATTCAAGTAAAAGTAAATACATAGAAGAAGAGTTATAAACATAATGTTGGGTTTATAGATAGAGCTAGTACATACAATACCTACAGCCACTAATACGCACAGCGTTTCGGCCAAGTTTAATGGCAG